GGTAGAACCTTATGTTTTTTAAGAGTTGTTTTAGTGTTCTGTGTGGTACTGGTTTGAGCTCAGAATCACCAGCTTAGCGAGGCAAATCCCCGTGATACCACTCAAGTCGTGCTCCTGGTCCTCCACCTCTGTTTCCTTTTTTTCTCACTCTTTGAATCCATGGAATTTACTCAAGATTTCCATACTTAGTTCTGTGACAGTCTTTGTGGGGCATCCAGCAGAATGGGATGGATCATAAGCATTGGGGCCATAGCTATTTCTTTATGTGAGTCTCCTGAGAGCAGATGTTTATAAATTGAATTATGATAGCGTGAGAAGATGCTAATTCTAAATCATCACCATTGTGTAACATTATTGCTCTGCTTTAGTTTTCTTCAGTATCATATTTTAAATTTAGAAATACTGACAGATTTTATTAGTTTGGGAAGGAAAGAGGGGAAAAAAATCTCTTTTCTTGTGCTTTCACTTACGAGCATCCATGAAATACGACTAAGTCTACGGAGAGACACTGCTGGGACCACAAAGTGCGGCCTGAGCTCATCGTAACTGCCACATGTTTTTCAGTGGCTCCTTTACATGACAAATTGCTCTCAAGAGCAGATAATATGGAGCTTTTCTCTTTCTGCTAGAGCTTTTGTTTTTAATAAAGTCTGATTAATAGCCTAATGCATTGTTTCCCCCATTGACTGTAAGTGCTTCGTTTAACAGCTCAAAGAACAGCTGTTTATTGGACTTTAGTTGTTTTTCTGTTTTGCAAGTTTTGTTTTTGTTTTTGCTTTTTTTGGTCGGTCATGGGGCTTGAACTCTGGGCTTGGACGTTGTCCCTGTGCTCTTCAGCTCGAGGCGAGCGCTCTACCGCTTGAGCCACTGCACCACTTCCGGTTTTCTGGTGGTTTTTATTGGAGATAAGAGTCTCACGGTCTTTCCTGCCCGGGTTGGCTTTGAACTGCAACCCTCAGATCTCAGCCTCCTGAGTAGCTAGGATTACAGGCATGAGCCACCAGCACTCGGCCTATTGCCTTCTTTGAGCTATTTGCAGTGGCAGAAATGAACTGTCCTAGCAGAATTGTGGAGTGAGACCAGTAGAGAAACTTTGAGTGAGTTCTGAGATATGTGAACTTTCATATGTGCATTTGCGTGATGGCTTTACCATGGGATAGGCATTTAGAGATTTTGCTTGGTTTTCTGAGGGCCGTATAAAAAGAGCTGACCTCCATCCAGCTGGTATTATGAAGATATTGCCTCATGCATGCTTAAAATGCCAGGTGGGTTTTGTTTTTGTTTTGTCAGTTATAGGGCCTGAACTCTGGGCCTGAGCACTGTCCCTGAGCTCTTGAGCTCAAGGCTATCTACCACTTGAGCCACAGCGCCACTTCTGGCTTTTTCTGCTTATGTGGTGCTGAGGAATCGAACCCAGGGCCTCATGCATGCAAGGCAAGCACCCTACCACTCAGCTACCTTCCCAGCCCCCAAAGTGTTTTTTATTACCAAGACTGCCTGCCTGCCTCCCTCCCTCCTTTCCTTCCTTCCTTCCTTCCTATAGAGAAATTATCAATTTGAGTTTTTAAAGACTGTGGTGCCTTGCTTACCAATAGGATGGTTCTTGATGTCTTCAGCCTCATTGTCCATTCTGTACTCATTCCTGGTACTCTGGCTGGGATTGGAACCATTCTCTGGCCATAGAACAGGTTTCCTATTACTCAGGTTTCTTATTGCTCTTCTATCTACCAGGCTTCTTAATACATTTTTATTTAATTAAATAACAATCTGTCTTCATTCTCTGTTGGTTCTTTGGGAGTATTTATAAAGTTGCAGGTCTATAAGTATAACTGATACTCCCTTCTAAAACTGAAGTCAGATTGGCCTTTCTGAAAACTAGCTGGCATCACTTTTTATGCTTTCAAATTCCAGACCTTTGGCTCAGCATTTCTACTTCTAAGAATTTATTTTACTGAAATACTAACACAGGTGCACAAAGGTAAGTGCACAAAAGCATTGCTGAAAGTTGCAAAAAAAAAAAAAACTTAATGGAAACAGCTTTTGAAGTAAACTTTGATGTATCTATGCTAGGAAATACTTTGTACCAGTAGGAATATTGCCATTAGTTTTTAATGTATTGATGTGGGACTCTCCTAGACATTCCACGTCCACACTTACGTGTCTATATAAATGTAACTGTGTTAGTCAACTTTCAGTTCTATTTTGCTGTGACAAATGTCTGAGATAAACAGGAGGAAAGATTTTATTTTAGTTCAGGTTTCATCAGTTTTAGGCTATGGTCCATTGGCTGCGCTGCATTGGGCCTTTGTCTGCATGGCATTACATCATGGCAGGATCCCAATACTCCCGGCAAGGACCTACCCCTTACTTCCTTCCACTAAGTCTCATCTCAAGGTTCCACCAACTCCTAATAGTACTGCTGGCTGCTGATAAGCCTTTAACATGTAGGCCTTTGGCAGACATTCAGGTTCAGACTAACAGTGCCATTGTAAAGCAGAAATGTGGTTACTGTATACCACCAGCAGTAGTATTTTGGAGATGATGAATAAAGGACACTTAATCCCTATGCTTTGTGTATTTCTGTATTGTATGTGTTGTTTTTGTGACAAGTTTATTGTACTGCCTGTAGCAATTGAGCTGCCAGGGCTAGTTTTCACGCAGAAGCTTTTCTCACTCTGCTCTCTGCTATACATCCTAAGTAGCATTTAGTCCAGGCTCACCAGACTGAAGACTGTTGGGTAGAAGAGGTTTCATGATGCAATGAGAAGTACTAGGATTTCTCCTAGAGCATTGTTAGAGGTCTTTAGCACACATGGAAGTCTCCATTGTCTCCCATGTTTGCCTGTTCTGTTTTTCTAGTCTCCCTCCTGACATTTCCCAGAAGCAGTGCTCTAGGGAGCACTACCCAGATTCACAGTGCATCTGTGTTTATAGTGTCAGTCTGACCTAATTGCGAAGGACATTTCTAGAAAGTGTCACCTGCGTGAATTCCTTTGCACAGAATATGAAGAGAAACCTTCATGCTTCTTCCCTTCACTTTGAAGAAGTGAAAAAATTTTGAAAGAAATTTCTAAATGAACTCTATTTTTAAAACTGCAAGGAACATACATATTTTGGGTTTCAAAAAGGAAACTTAAATTTACCTCCTCAGACTTGGCTTTGCTAGTGTGAGCAGGCGGGAAATTCGCATCATTGGATCTCCTTAACCAAAAGTAATGTGTCTTAACTCAGGGGCTCCACCTACAGTCTCAGGAACTCACATGTGTCAGCCACACCCATAAACTCAGTCCCAGCTTTCCGTGCAGGGGCCGTGTGAACAAGGAGGCTGAAAAGTCCATTCTTGTTCCGTAACCAGGCAGATTGAGAGCAGCACATTAGTACACATTGCACCATACTGCAGTGTTTCCTAGATAATGAACTTAGGTGGGGCCCAATCTGTGGAGGACTTTGAACTTGGTGCTAAAGTTTTTGAATTTTACTTTGTGGGTCATTTTGGAGCAAGAGAATGTAATCAGACAGCTCTTTTACTTTCAAGAATGAATTCTGATGACAGAAGCCAGAATTAATGATTTTTGAGTGCTTAGGGTCAAGCCCAACTGCTGTACCACTGAGGTACATCTATCCTGACCCTTTGACACAATTCTAATCAGTAAACCCATTTATTTAAAAATTGTGGGATTAACTGGGTGTTGTGGTACACACCTATAAACCCATAACTCTAGAGTTGGAGGCTGGAAGATTGTGACTTTAAGGACAGTCTGATTTCCATAATGAGACCCTGTCTTGAGAGAGAAAATGAAAATGACTCTATAAAGAAAGTTTTAGGTTCAGTACTGAGACCGGCACAGGAAAACAGGCTGCCTTAGGAGGCAAAGTGATCACAGCTGAAGGTGTTAGCTAAAGCTTCTAACTAGTGCCACTGCTTCATTACTCCCATCCATGTCAGGTTCCCAGCCATGTGGATGTAAATTACAGCCAGAATCAACAGTCAGACCTCAGCTACCTACTACAATTTGGTGTTTTGTTTTGTGGGGTTGTTGTTGTTTTGGTCGTGAGGCTTGACCTCTGTGTCCCTCAGCTCTTTAGCTCAAGGCTAGCACTCTACCATTTGAGCCACCCTGCCGCTTCTGTTTTCTGGTAATAATTGGAGATAAGAGTCTCACAGACTTTCCCGCCTGGGCTGGCTTTGAACCATTATCTTTGGACCTCAGCCTCCTGAGTAGTTAGGATTACAGGCATGAGCCACCAGCACCTGACAATTTGCTGTTTTTGAATTCAGTGTTTTATACTGTCACATTTAAGTGAATTGACCTGATGGCAAGCGAAGTTTGATTTAGCAGCGTGAAAGAAGTTATCATTTCCTTGGATGTTGCTAACATAAAGAGCAGCAGAGTTCAATATTAAACTAATGCGGAACATGTGGCTTTCAAATCTCCGACAGGGCAGGACCACCCAGCTGTGGAGGCAGTGACCACCCAGAGCTTTCCTCAGGGTCTCTGTTCAGTATTACTAGGCTGATTGTCCATATTCCATGCATTCCATATTTTGGTAAAGAAGAAAGAAATACTGAGGTCTCCCATGAGGGTCGTACCAGCAAAGCTGGACCACGGGGTTGCATGCTCCTTTCAGTATTAAGAAAAGCACTTGGATACTGTTGTGTCCTTCTCTGAGATGTCACCTCCCTGTCCCTTACCCACAATCATTACAGTGACCAGAAAGCCTGCTTGTTCTGCAGTGATGTGTCTTAATAGTGCCCACCGGTAGTTACCCTTGGCCCGCATGTTAGCCTTCAGTTTAATGGCCTTTTTTATGTTCATTCATTTTATTTTATTTCCCATCGTGGTTTTGTTTATTTCTTTTTTTGTTTTTGTTTTTCTGTTCTCTTTTTAAAAACCGTCGTGGTTTGCCCTTCATATTCCCCAATGTTTGCACATGACAAGATGTTGCCATCCCAACATTACCTCCCACTTCACTGACCAGTGCCACTACTGACCATCTAGCACCAGCCACAACGGGACCACTGCCTTCAGCTCCTCGGGACGTCGTGGCCTCCCTGGTCTCTACCCGCTTCATCAAATTGACATGGCGGACACCGGCTTCAGATCCCCATGGAGACAACCTCACCTATTCAGTGTTCTACACCAAGGAAGGCACTGCTAGGTAAGTGCCTGGATGTCTGCAGCCGGTGGGCTGCATCTCAGTTTACCCTGCCTGTTTGCTGAGTTGTGACTTTCTTAACTACATTCCAAAGAGACTGAAGTCCCTGACTTTCTAGGATATGTGGGGAGAGGGTAGCTAGAGCTATTTAAGGCAAGGCATTCAGTTCTAATAAGGATTAGATAGTTCTCTATTTATGTTTATATGTGTGTGTATGCCTTTAATATTATCTTCATTTGTTTTGTTTTGCTGGAAACTGAAGCCAGGCCCTTGCACTTGCTATGCAACACTACCACTGAATCACAGCCCTAGCCCTGGAACTACCTTTTGTATAAGATTCAGTCAGAGGCTGGGAAGGTGGCTTAGTGGTAGAGTGCTTGCCTCTCACACATGAGTCCCTGGGTTCAATTCCTCAGCACCACATAAGCAGAAAAAGCTGGAAGTGGCGCTGTGGCTCTAGTGGTAGAGCGCTAGCCTTGAACTGAAAAGCTCAGGGACAGCGCCCAAGCCCAGAGTTCAGGCCCCACAATCGACCAAAAAAAAAAAAAAGAGCACAGAGTCTGGAAAGTAAGAATTAATTGGTTAAAGTAATCAAGTACGTATAGGTTTATATCCTTGCGGACATTTCCTGGATGATGGAAGAATCTCTTTTGTTTTCTGTCCACCCTCACTGACATTTTTTTCTGAGTGGATCTCACTTTCTATTAGAACCGGTCTAATTCTTACCATATAGCCTTTTCTCCCCAGTCCCTTTGGTTTCTTCTCTTCTTCCCCCTTTTCAGCAAAAGCTACATTTGAAGTCTCAGGCCCCATAAAGAGTTTTTCCCATCTTTTAACACACCAGCATTTCTCTTGTATTTGTTTGGAACCCCTATCTTATATTATGGTTATATAAGATCTTATATACAGTTGCTTTAAGTGTATTTGTATTGTTTCAAACATGCCACATATTGACTGTTTCTGTTTTTTTTTTTTTAACTCAGCCTTGTACTTGATAGACAAATGTCCTACCACTTGAGCCACAAGCCTAGCCCTTTTTGCATTAGTTTGTTTTTCAGATAGATTCTCAAGCTTTTGCCCAAGGCTGGCCTCAGATTGTAGTTTTCTTACTCTCGGAGTAAGTAGAATTAGAGGTGTGCACCACCATGCCCAACTGACTGTGTTCTTAACATTGCTGAGTGGATTCCTTCATTATACTTTCTTTCTTTTTTTTTTTAAATCGGTCATAGGGCTTGGACTCTGAGCCTGGGCACTATCCCTTAGCTCTTCAGCTCAAGGCTAGCACTCTACTACTTGAGTCACAGCTCCACTTCCGGTTTTCTGATTCGTTTATTAGAGATAAGAGTCTCACGGACTTTCCTGCCTGGGCTGGCTTTGAACTGTGATCCTCAGCTCTCAGCCTCCTGAGTAGCTAGGATTACAGGCATGAGCCACTGGCACCTGGCTTCAAAATTTTTTTAAACCTATAAATATATTTGAAAAAAATTAAACTTTTTATCTATTTGGGGCATGAACAATGCCTTTTAAAAGATAGAAAACCAAGAAGCCATAAAAAAAAAAGTTTTGCTATATAACAATGTAAAATTTTGTGTGGTAAGACAATATAAACAAGATCAGCATCTTAAATGACAAGCTAGAAAATACTTTTGTAATCTTTATAAAAGATTATCTTAAGCAATAATTCCTATAAGTTGAAGGTAGATATCCAAAAGACAAACGATACAAGCAGGGACTTAAACAATTAGTGAGTAGTAGTCTATTAAAGTTTAAAGTTGTCACCATTATTAAAACAATTATCATCTATTATCTATCTATAAGGCTTAACAAAATTTAAGTTGACATTATCACATATTACAGGAGTTGAAGGTTGGGAGAAACCACCCAGGGCTGTTGGTGGCATTATTAAAATAACCCGTAGGGAAAATGATTCGGCAGAAGTTGTAAATCTTTTTAATGCACATAGCCTTTAATCAAGCAACTGTACTTCTGGCTACCTCTCATAGATACACCTATATACATACACCAAAGGATTCCTACAAGAGTTTTCATTGTAATGTTGTTCATAAGATTAAAAATTAGCTTGACTGACCACTTTTGGGTAGGAATTAATAAGAGATTAAAGTGGAAGCTTAGAAGCAGATATTGCAGTGCCAATAAGAAGTTAGACACAGTTACATAGGAAGGGCTCATGCTTGTAATCCTGGCTACTCAAGACATCTGATTTGAAGCCAGTCTGGGCAGAAAAGTTCTCAAGAATTCATCTCCAAAATAACTCAAAAAGCCAGGCTGGAAGTGTGGCTCAAGTAGTAGAGAATCAGCTGTGAGCAAGTAAGCAAGACAGTAACTCCAGTCAAGCCCCAGTTTTGTCACAAAGCAAGAAAGCTGGGAGGAAGGGAGGGGGGAAAGGAAAGAAAATCAAGAAGGTGGTTTTCTGAGGCTGTAGTATCTTTGGTTATCACTATTTTCATTTGTGACTTTTTGAAGAGGCAAGGGAAGTGTAGTAGAACACTCTGTAAATCCTTGTTACTTGTTATATAAGCAATTTACTAATCACTCTAAGCTTAAATTCTCTCATCTTAAATTATAAGGGTAATAAATTATCTCACAGACTTGGCTATAATAATTCAATGCAAGGATATGAGCCTCTGTCTTCATAGGAAAATTCCACCTGATTTGAAAAACCCTACCACTAGGTGGCAGTAAGACACTAGCAGTTCTGTTTTGTACCTAAATTGCCCGAATCCAGAGTTTTTCCTCTCCTCTTTTTCAGCTATGAAATTTTTTTATATTTATACTTTTTTATTGTTTGTGTATATGTATCCATGCATGTTTATGTCCATGTGTGTCGGTCTAGGACTTGAACTCAGGCCCTGGGTGTGGGCTCTTAGATTTTTCACTCTACCATTTGAGCCACAGCTTAACTTTGTTTTTTTTGGTGGTTAATTGAAGATAAAAGAACCTCATGAGCTAGGCGCTGGTGGCTCACGCCTGTAATCCTAGCTACTCAAGAGGTTGAGATCTGAGGATTGTGGTTCAAAACCAGCTGGAACAGGAAAGTTTCGTGAGATTCTCATCTCCAGTTGACCACCAGAAACCTGGAAGTGGCACTATGGCTCAAATGGTAGAATGTTCACCTTGAGCTGAAGATCTGGGCCCAGGCCCTGAGTTCAAGCCCCACAACTGACCAAAAGAAAAACAAAAAAAGAACCTCATGGACTTTTCATAGTAAGGTTTCTGAAGAAATTCGTTTACAGCTTAATAGCTTTGCTCATTCACTGGTCAGGGAGCGACACACAAAAGGTATCATTATAGTAAGATGTGCACACCAAAAGGCAAATTCCCATTCATCCCTTAGTGTGTGAGGCCACTTCCCTGTTGTCACACTAGTTCTGCTCAGTGCTTTTACATGATGTGGCCGTGAGTTTGAAGTTACCTTTCTAGGAGAGAACTTGTTTAAAATTTGATACACAGAGAAAGCAAAAGAGACCTAAGCTGTGCTCTCCGTGGAGCTTTTAGTTTGGTGTGTAACACATCACTTCCTAGTAAGCAGTCGTTGATGCTCACATCAATTGTAGGAAACCTCACAATTGATCTCCTCCTGACAAAGCACTAGTAATCTTAGTAACAGTAATTCCTGTTACCACAGTACTCTTCCCAGTGGGCCCAGCCACTCCAAGTGTGATAGCCTCTTAACTGTTATATATGTGCTTACCATTTTGTTTATGCTTATTTAGAGATGGATCCAAGATTTTTCTGAATGTACTGGCCTCATATCATGATCCGTCCTCCACATCTCCACGTCCTAAAGAGTTAGGATTACAGATGGAAGACGAACAGCTCCCAGCAACATTGAGTTTTTAATGTTTTTGTTCCTGGTTTAAAAATGGTTACTTCTCCTTTTTATTGGGAGTTTCTTATACAAGATATAGTCAAGATTCCTTGATAATTTCTGTGGAAATCAGGTGGTACTTATAATCACTTTCACTCCATTTTCCTGACAATCTCTTAACTTAGTGATTTCAAAACCTCCAAGGTCAGCTGGGTACTAGTAGCTCACACTTGTAATCCTAACTACTCAGGGTAGTGAGAGCTGAGGATCGTAGTTTGAAGCCAGCCTGGGCAGGAAAGGCCATGAGACTCTTACCTCCAATTAACCAGCAAAAAGCCAGAAGTAGAGCTGTGGCTCATGTGGTAGAATCCAAGCTTTGAGCGAAAAAGCCCAAGGCTCTGAGTTCAAGCCCCAGGACCTGCACAGAAAGAAAAGAAGAGGGGAGAGAGGGAAGGAAAGAGGGAGGGAGAAGTATTGCTAAAAGCTATGTCTCCAAAAGGAGACATAATGTTGTTCACAATGAACATCATTAATGATATTTAAGCAAGAATATCACCACTTATCAGGTTTTGTATTCTGCTGTAGACTCTTAATCCCCAAGTGTTTCATTTTCAAAACTAACTTTGACTCAGATTATTACAGGATTGTGGTTGTAGTGGTGTTTGTCCGTAATGGGCTTAAACTCAGGTCTCCTCTCTTGCTCATGACTAGTGCTTTACCACTTAAGCCATATCTCCAGCCTCAATTAGTAGGTTTGATATGAGCTGGAAACGGAAACTGTACATTCTTGAAATATTCACAATTTATATTGTGTCTTTCCAAATGTTTCTTTTTCCAAAGGGAGCGTGTTGAGAATACCAGTCGCCCAGGAGAGATGCAGGTAACCGTTCAAAACTTAATGCCAGCGACTGTATACATCTTCAGAGTTATGGCCCAAAATAAGCATGGCTCAGGAGAGAGTTCAGCTCCACTACGAGTAGAAACACAGCCTGAAGGTGAGTCTTCCGCTTGTCTGTCAGCCCACCAGAGGGAGGTCTATAGAAAGTCTACCTATGTTTAGGCTAGAACATACTATAGGGAAATGGAAGGTAGCAGTTCCATTGGCTTCAAGGTCTTTGTTTTCTTGCAGTGCTGGGGATGGAACCCAGGGCTTTGTGCATGTTAGCTAGGCAAGTGCTCTACCACTGAGCTCTATCTGCAGCCCAGTCCTTATGAGGTAGAGAAAACAAAATAAATTTCCATTGTACTATAGCAAATAGTTTTAAGTTGAAACATAGTTCTATTTATAATGTTGTATATAGTCATATTTGTACTGATCTTTTTAGATTTACTTTTAGAACCTTGCTTCCTATCCTAAATATTCTTATATCTCTACAGTTCTGAAATACATGATGATACTCTAGTCTTTGATTCATGAATATGAATATATCTTGTCTATTTTGAGGATATTTCCCACAATGTGTGATTCAGTGGCCTTGCACATGAAATGGGTATTTATTTAGTCATTAGCTAGATCGTCCTGTGGTATGTGCACTTCACTCACTGGAAGCTCTCTTAGAGCCTTATTTTGGACCTATATTTTTCCAGTTAACATCTCTAAGGTTTTCTCTGACTGAGGTGAGTATCAGATTAGCTAATTTTATAAATGCCCTATATAGCTTAACTTTTGGTTATAAATTATAGACTTGAAATGGTAAGAAAAAAATGTCATAATGATTTTTCCCACTTGAAACTTTATTCTAAACTTTGCCCTTTTCACACACAGCACTGTTTTTCTTTAGAAAGTTCTGAAGTCTGCTTTTACTATTAACTGCACCAGATTTCTGTGTTCACAGACCTCAGTAATAAAGATGTTGCTTTAAGCAGGGAACATGCATGATACATGTGTGAAAACTCCTGATCTGAGAACTACACAGAATAAATGAACCTACCAGTGAGACTATGAACTAATACTTATTGGTAGAATAAAGTCAAGAAGCCCTGAGATGGGTTTAGAGGTGTGTTCAAGTAGTAGAGCCAGCTACCTACCCAGCATAAAGCCCTGGACTCAAACCCCAGTACTTGAAAACAAAACAAAAACAGAGGGCACTTTGGGACTCTACTTTTTCATGCTATAACAAATCACTCTCCAATCATTTGAGTACCTTGTATGCCAGTTACTGTGCAAGCTGTTAGAGATACTGGGATGTGCATGGTAAGATTTGATCTCTTTTCAATGACTAGAAGACAGTAGGCTATTGGTTGCTTCATGATAGAGATTGAAGATCAGGAATCAAACCCAGGCAAGAACCCAAGAGGCTGATTCCAGGAAAGAATATTCTCATCACAGAAAAAGGATGGTGGATTCCGTAGCCTATGTTCAGACAAATGTGAGAATTTTTCGTTCAGTTTTAAATTCAGATACTAGGTCATAGCTTCTAAGTGTGGGTATCAGTACAAGGAGGTATAAACAGGGAGGTCATGATAAGTACCTAAAATAGTTAGGCCTGAAGTTGGCCTTGAAGTATTTGATTTATTACAGCATTCCTGGGGAAAGAGACTGCATGACCCAAGTCCCAGAAATAGAATCAGTATACTGGATCAAATCCAGGGCCAGATTCCATCCCAGGACAGTGAACCTTCTGAAACCACATGAAAATATTTGCATTTCTGATTATAGTCATCTTTCCTTGCAAAGTCCCAACTTTCATCATCATTTCAGATCACTGAACTGGGTCATTGTCAGATTTATAGATGAAAGAACAGATATAAGGCAGAGTGGCATTATCACATGCCCGCTGTGCACTGGACGAGCTGTGGTGATGAATAAGCCTGGATTTCTTTCCACAAGGAACCAGAGACAGACAGATACACAATAATGTGTGGTGGTGTCATCACAACTAAAGTAAGCAGTGCAGTTGCTCACTTAAGGGATTTGGTTAAGTAAGATTATAGGTGGTAGGCATGTTCTGATGAGGTTATTTGGGGGTTGGAGAAAGACCGTCACGTGTTTTGGAAAAGAGAAGCAGGGAGTGCAGAGAGACTTGCCCTTCGCCTGGAGATGTTCAGCTTGAGTAGGAGAGGTAGAAATGTTGGAATCAATCCCTGGAAAATATTTTTGCATATTTAGCTTCCCAAACAATCTTGGAACTTTTCCTACTTACTATGGTGCTGTCTAGTTGGAATGAAAGAGTTAATTTAATACCTTTTTCCAGATTATGTTTCTCTGAGCTTAGCCAGTGAGTATACTGAACGTGATTTCGAGGGATTAGAAACTCTTTGTTTTCCTTCCCATTTAGTTGAGTTAAAGGAAAGTTTTCCATAGCGGCAGAAGTGTGACAAATGCCACCTGTCAGGCTGTACAAAAAATGCTCTTAACATTAAGTGAATAACATTATTCATTACTAAATAAAGCAAACAACTGTTAAAGTAACTATATTCAGGTTTCTCCACTTTGGTAGCAAAACAAATCTTAAGTCATAATGCTGTTATTCAAGAAAGCCAGTTTGTTTTACATTTAGTTATTTTTTTCCCCTTCCCAGCTCTTAAAGCTAATGGGTGTCTATTACAGAGATGCTAGTGCCAGAAAATTTGTTTTCAAATATAGGATGTCTACCAAAATGTAGGCATGGCAGCTACCCAGGACTGAACCAGAATCTGTCAGAAACAGATTATACTGTGAAGATGGGTATGTGAGCCATTGCAGAGGGCACATCATTTAGTCCGTCCACCACAAGCCATCCTTCAGAAGGTCATGCACCAGTCCATTCCATGTTTCAAACACTGAGTCACATGACTGTCTTTCCCATCGACTGGAGTAATTTCCCCTTGGTGACTGGGGAGGCTACTCATTCTTGATACTGAGAAGTTCTATCAGGCTCGCCTTCCTGTCCTACCCCTCCCACAGCAGAGTCGTGTACTCCTGTCTCATTACATGACCAGAATCTGTTAGTACTTACAACATTGTCTCTATTCATATGCCTGGCTTCCTTGCTGAACTGGGAGTCCCCCAAAGGCAGAGACTGTCCGTCACTGCATCCCTACAACCTGCCACAGCATCTGACAAAGGGTTTCTTCTTTGTTGTTGTTGTTGTTGTTTAATCTGCTGTCTAGTCCTAGTGCCAAAGTAGGATTTTATAAACAATAGAAAGTTGTTTTTATGTCATTTTTTTGTTGGTCGTGGGGCCTGGACTCTGGGCTGTGCTGTCCCTCAGCCCTTCAGCTCAAGGCTAGCACTCTACCATAAGTCACAGCACCACCTCCGGCTTTTTCTGCTTATGTGATGCTAAGGGCCTCATGCATGCCAGGCAAGCGCTCTGCCACTGAGCCACCTTCCCAGCCCCTATGTAATTTTTCTTTTCTTTTTTTTTTTTGTCTTTTATTTTTTTTTTTAATTTTATTTTATTTTATTTGAGAACATACTGTACAGAGGGGTTACAATTACATGGGCAGGATAATGCATACATTTCTTACCAAGCATTGCAGCCTCCTCCTTTGTTTACCCTTCACCTCCCTTCCCAGCCTCCCCCTTCCCTCCCACCCAATCATACCCCCCCCCCCCACCGACATTGTAATGCTGGTTTTGACATGACTTTTTGTACTTCTCATCCCTATGTAATTTTTCTTAATTTGAATAAATTTAAAAAAAATAAAAATTCTGATTTTTATTTGAATTATAAAAAAGGAAAGTTTATGCAGCCTAACCCAACTTGAATCAAATCAATTCGATTCCTAGGTTTTATTTTCTAATATGAGGCAAGCATGACAATATCTCTAAGAATGGTTTGGAGGGAGTGCAGTGAGTCTTATTTACATCTTGCTCTCTTGAAATGTTCTTTTCAGTTCAGCTCCCTGGCCCAGCCCCTAACATCCGAGCTCACACTACGTCACCTACTTCCGTCACCATCACGTGGGAGACACCACTGTCAGGCAATGGGGAAATTCAGAACTACAAATTGTACTACATGGAAAAAGGAACTGATAAAGAGCAGGTACAAAACAAGACCTTGTTTTAAACCATTGTCTGGGGTAGTATAGTTGAAATATAGTTCCAAAATGCAACAGTCGCTTTACTGGAAATCAGAGAGAAGATGATTAAAAAAAAAAGTATAGGAAATAAAAGTTGACAGTCTGTTTTGTTGTATCAGGTTTGATTTAAATTCTGTAGTTTTTACCAGCAAGGGTCACTCAAGAAATGTTTCTAGGGGCTGGGAATGTGGCTTAGTGGTAGAGTGCTTGCCTAGCATGCATGAAGAGCCCTGGGTTCGATGCCTCAGTACCACATAAACAGAAAGAGCCAGAAGTGGCACTGTGGCTCAAGTGGTAAAATGCTAGCCTTGAGCAAAATAAAAGTTCAGGGAAAGTACCCAGGCCTTGAGTCCAAGCCCCAGGACTGGCACTGGCAAAAAAAAGGAAGGAAGGAAGGAAAATGTTTCTAAATAAATTGTCACAACGATTAATCTGCTATGACTAATACCATTTTTTAAGAAGGTTAAATTCTGTACTGTAGAATTCAGTTAAATTACTTTGTGCCATTTTTTTGGCTTGAGTTGTGCATATACACAATATTGTATGTTATTCAAGGATGTGGATGTTTCAACTCACTCCTACACCATTAATGGGCTGAAAAAATACACGGAGTATAGTTTCCGGGTAGTGGCCTACAATAAACATGGTCCTGGAGTCTCCACACAGGATGTTGCCATTCGGACCCTGTCAGATGGTAAGTCTTTTTTTCCTTGGAAACAAAATACCATACTTGGTGTCCCTAGTGGTATAATAGCAAGATCCTGGGCTATGATGTAAAGAGCATTCAGTTAAAATTCCATTTGTACTCCTTACTGATAGTGTAGACTTCAATCAAGTCACCTGATTTTTCTGATCATGTTACCTTATGTGTAATGTGTAGGTAAGCCAATGCCATTGGTTTGCTATGAAGATTCATCTAGAAAACATAAAACCTACGGCCCGATAATGAATAAGTCTCAGTGATTGTATTTTAGCAGAATCATCAGTTTGAGTAAATACCATTGCTATTTATAACAGTTTCAGGGCTGTTGGAAGCTTAGCTTTAGCTTTACTTAGTAATCATGTTTACTTGCCACATTTATTTTAAAAATAATTTTATTGTTATTCAGGTGTACAGAGGGAGTACCATTTCAGAAGTCAGATAATGATTAAATTTCTTTTGGGGGTTACCCTTCCTTTGTTTTCCTGCCATATTGATCTTTTTAATTAATCAGTATTGTGTGACAATGTTCTTTCTCATCTCTGACTGAATTATAAACTAAGTTGCATATGTGTACTTATGACAAACTTAGCTTGCCAAAGAGGGTAACTAGGTCAAGATCAGAATTTTAAAAAATATATTTTAGAATAACAGAAAATATTAATTCATTGCACTGAGGACATTAGTTAAGTTCAGTGTTTTATTTTTTTAAATGCCTTAAAAATAGGTATGTGTGTGTTTTAAAGAATGCATGAATGTTTGATTCCCTTAAATTATCAAACTTACCATCACCAAAAAAGGAACGGACTGATACCATGTGATTCTGACATGCTGCATGCAGAAAGGCCCAGCCTTACCCTCCATATTCCTGCCCAGAATATTTACCTCAGATTGATTTTGATAAAACAACCAGACATGTTGATGGAAGTACAAATACATGTTTCAAATTTAAAAGCTGTCCTATACACTTATATTCTATTAATCTTACGGAAGGAAAAACAATCTAGATTAAAGAAGAGTAAAGACTCATGAAATAGAGTCAAACATGTATGATTTTTGGGTTGATCCTTGATGGTAGGTAAAAACTGGTATATAAGGCACTTGACACACTCTGTTAGGAATGTATAGGCTAAGGTAATGACGTTAGGTCTGTCGGATAGTGTTTGCATGCTGAGGGTCCATTTCCCAAGTGGGATTGTTGGTGGAGCTCATCCTTGTTCTAGGGAGGTACCTCCTACAGCACAGGAGTGAACTGTCACAGTGACCACAGCCATTTTCACCTACTTTACCAGCTATGAGTGTAGATTACAGATCTATGTGTATAGAGTGAGAAGAGTAAAGGAGACATTACAGAATATTAGTATCTGGCAAAACTAGGAAAAGAATATAAAGTGTTCATTGTACTGTCCTTGCTATAATTCTGTGGGTTTGACATTTTTCAAGATAAAAAGGTTGGCTATGATTTTACCTAAGCCAGTTAGGCAAGAGTTTTAGGGAAAAAATGAGAAACAAGTGTTTATTATAGGCTTTTGAATGGATATGTGAGCCAGGTTTCAGTTGCATTAAGTGGGAACTGAATGGAGCCATGCTGGACAGCACTTTAGATTGAAGCAAATCTCCATTCTCATGTCAGCTGAAACAAATACCTTGGGCATGTTAGCTGCCCTTAACCTATGTGTAGATTTTCATCTATAAAGTAGAACCAAATAGTAGAAACCCTTTGTTAGATGACTGTTAAAGTTCAGGGACCCACCATGTGGTAGGCAGCGCTTAGCCACGAGGAGGGCGATGAGGACGTGTCCTCATCCTCACAACTGCTCTGGGGCTTCTGCAGCTAAGTCAGGGCTTAACACAGAGACAATGCATGTAAGGTTTTCATAACACTGGGTCTGCATGTTGCTGTAGATCCTGTGATGCATTAGCCAAGTTACAATATCAAGCAAGACACAGAGGACACTTAGATACCTGGACACCAGTTGTTAGAGAAAGGATATGTGTGTATTAGAAGAGAATGGCTAGAATGAGCATCTTGTGAGTGGAGGAAACGAGGCAGGCCTGCTTCAGTTTCTTTTGCTTGCTGTCATCACCACAAAGGGAGACAGATGTTGGAAAGTATGTGGATCAGGAACTTTGAGATACCCTTGTGTTATGTTCTGTGTTGTTTAGCAACTAGTCTCAAACTTCTCACATCTTAAGTGAGCGTCCCCTGGTACACAGTTGCCTCTAGAAATCAGAAAGTTCACTTTACTGAAAATGTGACTGTTTAAATACTTTGTCACTCTTCCTGAGAAGAGCTTGTAAAAGTAGTCAGGGAACCTCACCAAAAAAAAAGCCAAGCTCACTGATTTATGTACATCTTATTTTGGTTCATATTGTCATTTACCAGTTCAGTCATCTGCCACATACATTAGACTTGGTTCCATAAAATATATGGCTCTCCCCCAGGATGAATATTCAGAAGAACATGCCTAAGTTTAGAATATATCTGGAGTCTAGGAAAGTTTAGAATCTCAAACTTCAGATCCATAGTTCATCATCGAAATAAGTGTCTGATTTCCCAGAGATACTGCCTGACATGAATATGAGCATGGGATGTATGCTCCTATAAATGTGTTTTATTTTTTAAAATGACTCAAATACGTCTGTGCCTTAGCACCTCATCCCTCCTAGAGCCATCAACAGAAGGCACTGGCCGCTTGAATTGAGACCTTCTGGTCACATAATTGGGGGGTGTGGTGGGGGAGATACGTACTTGTATAACCTGTGCTCAAGACCAATCACATGATTGGTGCTAGTGACTAATTTTCTTTTTCTTCTTCTCTTTTGCTTATCTAGTTCCCAGTGCTGCTCCTCAGAATGTGTCCTTAGAAGTGAGAAACTCCAAGGTAAAATTTTGTGATGATGTCACTCATTCTGATGAGATGCTTATTTTCTTCTGCAGTACACACCAGTTGTTAATTAAGAGTTTTAGGTAGAAATTATTCCATTTCAGCTGTTTTGCACTGATAACGGGAAAGTATTGTTAGACTTTTTTTTAATTTGGATACATTTATTAAGACTTAACGGTAGTTTACTTCCTAATCCACATGCCACTGATCAGTGGATTCTAGGATTTCTGACCAACATCTTAATTCTGACAAAATGCACAGGAGACTCAGGGTCCAGAAAGTACTCCTTGAAAATATAACCTTCCCCTTTAACATTGGGAATTTCAAAAGTAAAAAGTAGTTTGAGTGACTGTGCATTTACTTGGTGAAACTCTTAAGCACCCTATTGTCTGTGTGTTCCTTCTCTACCCGGTGAAATCAGGGTTAAGAACACATGCAGTGGGGCTGGGAAGGTGTCTCAGTGGTAGAGTGCTGCCTTCCATGCATGAGGCCCTGGGTTCGATTCCTCAGCACCACATAAGCAGAAAAAGCCAGAAGGGGCGCTCTGGGCACTGTGGCCCAGAGTTCGGACCCCACAACCAACCAAAAAAAAAAAAAAAAGCAGCAATTGGGGCCAGCCTTCCCCTGTGTTCAGTCTCTTCCCTCACTGCTGTCTTTCCCAGAGTATTAGGATTCACTGGCAGCCACCTTCTCCAGCTACACAAAACGGGCAGATCACTGGCTACAAGATTCGCCACCGAAAGGCCTCCCGCAAGAGTGATGTCACTGAAACCTTGGTTCCTGGGACCCAGCTGTCTCAGCTGATTGAAGGCAAGCTACTTCACACATAGCAAAGCTGTGACATTGAGTTCTAATGCTCTCAGGGATCCTCTGAGCTGATAACTTACATAAGCAAAAGTTTTTAAAGTCCCCCCTCAAAATATTGTAATAGTCTACTTCTAACTTCACACAAATTAATGGAAAGCACTCTACGGGGTAAGAGTATATTTGCTTTTTATTTCCTTACATTGTTTTCTGGATTTATATATTGGTGGTTTTTAATTTTGTTTTGTGGTAGTACAAGGAAAGTGAAAGAGATATACAAGGAATTACTCCTCATTCTAGCAGGTATCAGGCCTACAACGCTTTTTATAATACTAACATCACTCGTGTATATGTGGCCTTCAGGAATATTTATGAATAACTAATTACATTTGTGACTGTAGATATTATGAAATTTTAGAAAGTTCTATCAGGGATAGTTCCTTTTGTATAGTTTTCCTTTAGTGTGCCACAGAACAAGTAGCTCACCTGGTAAAAATGGGCCCAAGTGCATATTTAATAAGGTTCATCTTATAAGTCATGAGGAATTCTACTCTTTCTGCCACAGATAGGGAATGGAATCTGAACTAAGCAAGGGTAAGCTTTCTTTGCAGGAGACTCTGAACTAAATAAATTACATGGTTAAGTTGTAGCCAGAGGCAGTTTTATGGTACTTAACACATCCTGCTTTATATCTTTTTAGCATGTATTATGTATCTTAGTTATGGTTTATGAATCCTGTTAGTTACTTAGAGGGAGAAGAACTCTTAGCTATTTTGTTCCCTAGTACTTACAAGTTTCAAGTTAATGCTTCAAGAGAGCAAGTATCTTTGTTTTCCTGGATCTCCATTTTTGTTCATCATTATATATCCAGGTTAACATGCAGATTAAATGCTTTCCATCCTTTGGATGTTGGGAACATGCCTCTGTCTTCTTAGTTCTCTCAGTCATTGTAACTCTCCCTCAAAGTGCGAAGAATGATAATAGAACTTACTGATTATTTCTTTCATGATAGTAATGTAGTGATTGTTCACAGTTAAAAATGTTTAGTTTAGTATGTCCACAGTCAAGATAGTGAGATAAACTGACTTGTGCCCAGACATTTTAATCGTCTTTCTGTCCTTGTTCTCCTGTGTGAAAACAGATTCAGATTCAGGATACACCTGTAGAGAACAGAACCTCCCATCTTGTGCACATCCTATGTTAATTGGGTAACTGAGCCAGAGTGTACCTTACATTCTTGCATTTTGGCCAAGTTATTCACATTCTCAATATATGTCTGTCTTTGATTGGAGTAGCTACTTTGTTCTGTATTTATTTTGCTCCCCTCCACTCCTTGTACTGTGGCTTGAACTCGGACCCAGAGCTTGTTTGTTCATAGCTGGTAGTTTGAAACATTGTTTATAGAGTAAACTTTGTCAAGCTATGAACTAATTTGAGGGATGGGATATTTGCTTTAGCAGATTATGAATTTCATGTTTCCCAAAACTCATTTCCACTTGTGTTCTTTTGTCTTTTGGGTCTCAGGTCTCGATCGGGGGACTGAGTATAATTTTCGAGTGGCTGCTCTCACAGTCAATGGTACAGGCCCAGCAACTGACTGGCTGTCTGCTGAAACTTTTGAAAGTGACTTAGATGGTAAGAACACATACTTGTCAGGACTTGGCAGGATAGAAACTAACTGTAGTCAGTGATCAGCCTGGAAGGCCACAGTCATTGGCTTAAATCCCTCAACTTTAGTGTATTACACTGCTGGCATTCCCACAAAGCACAAAGTTTCCTGAGATCGATTTCTTTGCAGTGGTTTTTAGAGAAGTGCTCCCCTTTAAGCAGAGCCAAAACAAATGAGAATGAAAATGTGCAGATATTTTTAATGCAGTTTTGTTTTACCCAGGCCATTAAGTAGTTGGATGATACAACATTAAGATCAAGCCATATCAGTTATGTGTTTATTTTAGTTGCAGTTTCCTTTGCCTTACTCCTGAAAGCCCTTTCTCCTTTTGCTCAGTGTTGACTCAGTGTTGAGTCAGTGAGTAACTTCTGTGAGAATATATGATGAGTACCTTTATTAGTGACAGGTACCAGATTTGGGCAACAAAAAACCTTTGGTTCAAGTAAAGATAGTAAAGTATGATTTGAAGTAATGTACGTGAAAGATACTATAAAGTTTGCTCACTTTTTTTATGTCAGTACTGGGCTTGAACTCAGGACCTCACTTTTCATTTGGCCAAGGCTGGAGCTGTACCACTCAAGCCACAGCTCCATGTCTAGCTTTTTGGTGATTAATTGGAGATAAGAAGCTCATAAAATTTTCTGCCCATGCTGGCTTTGAACCAGAATCCTCAAATCTCAGCCTCCTGAGTAGCTAGGATTACAGGCCTGAGCCACCAGTCTCTTTGTCTTCGGCTAACTGAATTAGTTGTGATTCTCACACTTCATTTTTTCTGAGTTATTTTACTCCATTAGGCAGAGGTTCTGGATCTCTTCTCTTCCAAATATTGAAATGTCTCGTATTTAAGCTTGTTTGGACTTTGTTTTCTTCTTAGAATGTATAAAACCATGGGCCTTATATTACGATATATACACAGGTTCTCTTTGAACTCTGGCCAAATAGTAAGTAATCTAGCCCCAAATAGTTTGGTAGAAGGCTGAACATTATTTCCCAAGGGTGGTGAAATACTCTAAAGGAAAGTCGATATCATTTTACTTTTCTACTTTTCTTCCCAGAAACTCGGGTTCCCGAAGTGCCTAGCTCTCTTCACGTTCGCCCACTTGTCACCAGTATTGTAGTAAGCTGGACTCCTCCAGAGAATCAGAACATTGTGGTTCGAGGCTATGCCATTGGTTATGGCATTGGCAGCCCTCATGCCCAGACCATCAAAGTGGACTATAAACAGCGCTATTACACCATTGAAAATTTGGGTATGTTTGCCAAGTAAAGGAAATAATTGTATATGTGATTTCTTCTGTCTGTTATGCAACAATTTTATTTCTATAGAAAAATAACATAATGTGTTCAGAGCATTCCTGTACATTCTTTACCCGGATTTGCCAAGGTAAACATTTAACCACGTTTGCTTTAGCTTTCTCTGTCTTGCTATATGTACATATTTCCTTCTCTTCCACACACACCCCTCCCTTGAACACTTAAAAGTAAGTTGTAGACATGATGATGCTCCTGTTAATAATGAACTTCAGCATTCTCAGAAATTGTTCTGACATAAACACAGTTAACAGAATGAGAACACTAATATTGCCTAGAGAATTCATTCATATTTGGCACTTTTGCAGGAATGGACTATAAAAACTGTTTTCTAAGTCCAGGATCACATGTTACATTGAGTTACCATGTCTCTTCTTTGCTAGGACTAGTCCTCTCTTTGTTTTTTTCTAGATTTTAATGGCTCACTTTTTTTTGGGGGGGGGGGTCCAGTCATGGGACCTGAACTCTGGGCCTGGGTGCTATCCCTCAGCTCTTCAGCTCAAGGCTAGCGCTCTACCACTTGAGCCACAGCGTCACTTCTGGCTTTTTTCTTTTTGCTTATGTGGTGCTGAGGAATCAAACCTAGGGCCTCATGCATGCAAGGCAAGCGCTCTACCACTGAGCCACCTTCCCAGCCCCATGACTCACATTTTTGAAACATAGAGCTTGTTTATTCTCTATAGAATTTCCTCAGTTTGGATTTGTCCATCATTCCTTGTTACATTGAGGTTACATGCTCCCTGGATGATTCAAAGTAGGTTCTCATCAGCATGTCCTACCAGAAGCGCATGATGGTCTCTTACTAGTGATGTCAACTGTAATCACTTGATTAAGATGGTATTTGTCACATATTCTCACTAGAAAATTATTGCTTTTCTTTGTAATTAATAATTTCTTTGCAGTGGAGATACCTTAAGTTTCATCAAATTCTCTCGTTTTTGTCTGTGGTAACAATTGTCACTCTAGTTTCCCCAGATGGGGTTGTCTAGTTCCACACTTCTCCGTTGTTTATTAGAATTTTACAAATAAGAAAAAGCCTTCTTTGGCCACATAGAAAATGAACGGCTAATTCAGGACCATACCAGCCTGAACGCTCCTGATCTCATCTGAGCTCAGAAGCTAAGCAGAAGCAGTCCTGATTTGTATTTGGATGGGAGAAAGTGATCAGCCACTGGTGCCTGTGTCATTTGATATCTTCATCATTCCCTTCCCTGTTGAGACAGTGAGATGCTCCAGGTTTCTTTGGTATTTCCCCAGTCTCCACCACTGAATCTGCCATTTATCCAAGGAACTCTGGTTTCTTTTATGAAAAAAATGGTATTTAAAAGAAATACCTGAGCACTGCACGTAGGTAGAGAATTCTGAGGAGTCTATAGAAAAGCTATTAAAGCCATAAGTGAGCTAATAAGCAAGATCATAAGTTACAGATTAAGTTATATATAGATTAATAGTCAGAAATAGATTCATACATATATGGCCAATTTTTTTTTGTACTGGTCCTGGGACTTGAACTCAGGGCCTAAGTGCTGTCCATGAGTTTTCTTTTTTTTTCGCTCAAGGCTAACACTCTTACCACTCAAGCCACAGCTCCACTTCCGTCTTTTTGGTGATCAGTTGGAGATAAGAGTCTCATGGACCTTCCTGTCCAGGCTGGCTCTGAACTTTGGTCATCCTCAGATCTCAGCTTTCACAGTAGCTGGGATTACAGGCTCATCAGCCTTCCGAGTAGCTAGGAGTATAGACATGAGCCACTGGAGCCTGGCTATGTCGATTGATTTTTCAAAAAGGTACTGAGATAATTCAGTAAGGAGAGGATATCTTCTTAACAAATGGTGTGGGAGTCATTGAATGTCTATATGAAAAAAAGAAGGGACCTTCAATCTTACCCTAACATCACACACAAACACAGGCTTTAGGGGCTGGGAAGGTGGCTCAGTGGTAGAGTGCTTGCATTGCATGCAGCATGAGGCCCTGGGTTTGATTTCCTCAGTGCCACATAACCAGAAAAAGCCAGAAGTGGCACTGTGGCTCAAGTGGTAGAGCATTAGCCTTGAGCTGAGGAGCTGAGGGACAGTGCCCAGGCCCAGAATTCAAGCCCCATGACCAAAAACAAAAACACTCAGACTTTAATGTAGAACCAAAACTGTACTGTTGATTTTCTAGAAGAAAACAAAACAAAATAAATCTCCATGACCTTGGGGTAAACAAAGACCTCTTAGGATACAAAAAGGCATTAGCTGGGCACCAGTGGCTCATGCCTATAATCCTAGCCACTCAGGAGGCTGAGATCTGACAATCACAGTTCAAAGCCAGCCTGGGCAGGAAAGTCCATGAGACTTCTATGTCCAGTGAGCCACCAGACAACCAAAAGTGGTACTGTGGCTCAAGTGGTAAAGCGCTACCCTTGAGCTGAAGAGCTCAGGGACAGTGCCCAGGCCCAGAGTTCAAGCCTCACAACCAAGAAAAAAGAAAAAGAGGCAGAAATTACAAAAATAGATTTCATCAAAATTTTAAAGTTTTTACTTTAAACTACTTTGGGAAGATCAGTAAAATAAAAAGACAAGAACAGACTTGGAGGAAATATCTTCTATTCAAATATCTGACAAAGAATATATAAACATATATTTAAACATTCTTAAAACTTAGAAAGAATGAGCAGAAATAGAAAGAATGAGCAGAAATTTTGGATACTTTGCAAAGAAGATATAAAGAATTTGATTTGGGCATGATACTTTTACAAACTGGATTATCATCATCTTTTTTTTGTAAGACTTACCTTTTTTTTTAATCAACCATGGGACTTGATCTGGTTTGGGTGCTTTCCCTGAGCTCTTTTGCTCAAGGCTAGTGCCCTACCACTTTGAGTCACAGTGCCACTTCCAGTTTTCTATTTGTTAATAGGAGTCTCACAGACTTTACTGCCCAGGCTGGCTTTGAACCTGGATCCTCAGATTCTCAGCCTCCTGAGTAGTTAGGTACAGGATACGACTTAACTTTTGATTCTGAATATGCCCTCATAAATTGTTTATCCAAATCATTGCTTGGTAGACTCTTTCTTAAGAATGACTTAAAGTGACTTTTCTGGTAGAAAAGAAGCAGCAATTTAAGTCCAGTCAAAAGCTGACAGCACAGCTAACCTCCTGAGTCTTTCTCACCTAAGCAGTTGTCTAGGGCAATTATTGGAGAGCAAAAATAGAGCTTTGCTGTGGTATAAAAATGTTCCTGTGATTACCAGCCTCCTACTGTTCATGAGATTACTGAAATAAAAATCCTTCGCAGCGCATTCAGGACTTGGACCCTGACCTTCAGGTGCTTTCAGTCTAACAAGAGAACAAAAGGGAAACACAAGAAATGGTGAAGTGAGTTGAAGTACATTTAGAGGAGGAAGACCTAGCAAGGCACAGAAGAGCAGTCCAAGAAGAAACTCCCCTGGGCTTGAAAGACTGAGCCAGAATAGTTCTTACAGCATAGTTGAGAAGAGACTCTGTGAGTGCTAAGAGAGTAACCAGGTGGACTGTGGGAAAGGCCAGGAAAGGAAGCACAGGGCTCCTCCACTCTTGACACTAAATCCAGGAAGGTGATCCACCAGGTCTTTTGTACTATGTGTGTTTCCGTCGCCCCATCTCCTGATGCCCCAGAACAACCCCATTTATAAAAATAGAATCTCCAGTTCAGATTATACATAGTCACCCTTGAAGTTTTAAACTCTGTAGCGCGGATTTGTTTATAGTTGTTTGGACTTTTTCCCCTCAGATCCGAGTTCTCATTATGTGATTACCCTGAGAGCATTCAACAGCGTCGGCGAAGGCGTCCCACTGTACGAGAGCGCAGTGACCAGGCCTCACACAGGTAGGCTCCTGCCTGTCTCATCAACAGCCCTTTTCCAGCAGCCATGTAGAATGTTGGCATGAGGCCTGCCTGTACATGGCTCTGAAGGAAATGTAGGAGGCAATTTCTAGTGCATATTTTAGGTACTACAATGAATAAGAAAAATCCTCCTAATCTTGGTTTTGCTTGTTGAAAAATATTAAACCTGGTCATGAAAGCTGTTTTTGGAAATATATATATGATATATATATGGAAATGTATATATATCCATATAGATCTATCTATCTATCTATCTATCTATATATATAGATCTATATGGATATATATAGATCTATATGGATATATATACATTTCCATGTGTCAGGCTCTTAGAAAGCAGTATTTGGAGAGAATTAAAAGTGATTTTTCAGATCAGGCTTAGTGGCTCATGCTTATAATTCTAGCTGCACAGGAAGTGGAAATTAGGAGGATCACAGTTCAAGGATAGCCAAGGAAAAATGTTTGAGAGACCTCCATCCCAGTAAACCAGTGGGATATTAAAACAGCGGGGGACGGTAGAGTACACTTGTTATTCCAACTTATTAGGAAAGTGTAAAAAGAAGTTTGCCGGCCACATCGGCTAGAACAAAAATATGAAACCCAATTTGAAAAATAACTAATGCAAAAGAACTAAAGGTGTAGCTTAAGAGATAGCTTGCATAGCAGGCAAAAGCCCTGAGTTCAAATCCTAGTAATACAAAATAAATACAAAAGAATGATTTTTCATCGTCCAGATATAACTAAATGAGTCAGAAAATAATTCCAGAGGAATTATATTGGTTATTCATTGTGGCATTGTGTCTTGGTGAACTTAACAGATGCTGTACTGGTCACCTCAGTAGGTTTGAAAAGTACTTTTCTATGTCTTTAAGAAATCTCACATATTAATGAACGTTATAAAGACAAAAGCATTATCTATTTTATACATTTATTAATGATCAAAAGTTCACTTTGTTTTCTTTGAATTATCCATTTTAAATTTCTAAGACAAAGTAATGTAAATTTTCTATAGTGGTATGAAATCTCTAACTTAAATTTGCATGTGAAAGTTTTTTGGAGCTTTATTATATGTATTTATTTTTGTGCCAGTTCTAGAGCCTTAACTCAGGGCCTAGACTTTGTCCCTAAGCTTTTTTGATCAAAGCCAGCACCCTGCTCCTTGAGCCACAGCCTCTTCCAGTTTTTTAGTGGTTAATGGAAATAAAGAGTCGCATAGACTTTCTTGCTGGGGCTGGCTTCAAACTACAATCCTCAAGTTTTAGCCTCCCATGTAGCTAGGATTATAGGTATGAGCCACTGGCACCCAGCCTAAATATTTTTAAAGAGCCATGAAAACCAAAGAATGAAAACCAAAGAATGTTTCAGAAATGCCTCTTTTCCATTGATTGCACACAAGTTTGAGACAGTTTTGTTTGTTGTGTATTCCAGGTGTTCTGCATAATCATACAGACTTGGCAGTATTCTTGCTAAAAGATAATAATGTCCTCCCCCTTTTGTTTAAAGCTTCTATTTTTTATCATTACTACATGCTTTTTTTTTTTTTTTGGGTCCAGTCATGGGGCCTGAACTCTGGGCCTGGGCACTGTCGCTTAGCTCTTCAGCTCAAGGCTAGCGCTCTACCACTTGAGCCACAGCGCCACTTCTGGCTTTTTTCTTTTTGCTTATGTGGTGCTGAGGAATCGAACCCAGGGCCTCAGGCATGCAAGGCAAGCACTCTACCACTGAGCCACCTTCCCAGCCCAACTACTACATGCTTTTTGTTGTGGGTTTTGTTTGTTTGTTGTTGTTGTTGGGTTTTTTTGGTTGGTTATGGGCCTTGAACTCAGGGCCTGGATGCTGTCCCTGAGCTCTTTTGCTCAAGGCTCTAGTGCTCTACTACTTTGAGCCACAGCTTCACTTCTGGTTTTTGAGTGGTTAATTGGAGATAAGAGTCCCATGGGGACTTCTCTGCCTGGGCTGGCTTTGAACCATGATTCTTAGATCTCAGCCTCCTGAGTAGCTGGGATTGCATGTGTGAGCCATGGGTGCCTGGCTGCTGCATGGTTTATAGTTCTATTCTATCTTCTCCTATGTGCCTGTAAGTTCTTCCAGAAATAGGTTTAGCATCCCAGAAAAGGGTATGGGGGAGGCCTTAAATAATGATCTTTTACTTTTTAAAGTTGGGTTATAAAAAAAAAAAATGAATTTGTTTTCCTCTATGTGGTTTAAGAATGTAGTCTACTGGCTAGAAATATACAAGGAAAATGTTTCTTGTAATCTTGTTCATATAAACTGGGTACCTTTTCCAAGACTTGGTACACGTATGAAAGAATTGTGCACCTGGAGTTGCATTTTTCTAAAACTAATTAGTATGTGCCCCACCAGTCTTTGAACAAAGGCCTTGATTATGTGTTCTACTTCTGTGTTATTTTTAGTCCTCATTTTGCAGGAAATAACACACATACAGACTCTTACTTTAGAATAGCAGTTTTTTCATAAGCAAAGCTTATCAGATTTTGACTTACAGGATGGCCAGTCACCATAACTGTATGGGGAACCTCTTCTAACACCTAAAAGTTTTCAAATGAAAGAGCATAGGTGTACTTAGGAAACCTAACCAGGAGTTTGGAAAGCCAAACTCTTAGGCTCCAAACAGATGCTCCCATGGTCCCCTGAAGCCAAGCACGTCTTCTGCTTTTGTACATGATCCAGCTTCAGTGTTGCAGTAACTCTTTGAGAATGTGTCTTTTGGGTAGGGCACAGCACCACATACACGAGCATAGACTTTCATAGTATAAGCACTTTGAGCACTATGGTATTGCCATAACTGATAGGAACCTGCCACTGTGTTCCCTAACTCAGCTGGAAAAAGTGCCACTAGTCTAGCCTGTGGCAGCTCTCCTTCTGAAGGAAGGCTGCTATGAGGCCCTTTGGGTTTACTTGCCTATCTGAGCCTGGTCCACTGGCTGTCATGAAGAGAAGAATCCTTAAATACCCAGAGAGAATCACTAGTGACTCGGGTCCCAGAAACTGAGCCACATCCACTGAAAGCTCAAAACAGGCCATGAACTTTGGGTTGCTTGTTCAGAAATAGTACCCTGGTTTTATCAAAAAAAAATAAAGAAAAAGGTTTCTGGGGATGTGGCCTAGTGCTAGAGTGCTTGCCTAGCACCCATGAAGCCCCGGATTCAATTCCTCAGTACCACTTAGACAGAAAAAGCTGGAAGTGGCACTGTGACTCAAGCAGTAGAATGCTCACCTTGAGCCAGAGAGCTCAGAGACAGCACCCAGGCCCAGAGTTCAAGCCTCACGACCAACAAAAAAATAAACGAATAAATAAATAAAAGTTTTTTATTTTCATGATCCTTTTTGAATAGGAGTTTGAATTTCAAGTAATTTTAAGAAAATTCCAGCATGTCTATACTAACATATCACTAAATTATCACATCTTAGTGTGCCCATAGAATACAGCTAAGAATATAGTTGATTACTGCTTTGTTCAGCATTCCTCTATAATTTCTTCCTGAAAGAACACAAGTAGAAATACTCTTTTTTTAAATGAATGTTATCTATTAACTGTGATTTTCTTTCTTTTTCTCCATTTCTCATCTCTCATTTCATTATATTACCCTGCATTTCCCTTTTATTTTTGTTTATGTTTAAATGCCATTTCCCTTTTTAAATTACTTTTTGCCCAGACACTTCTGAAGTTGATTTGTTTGTTATTAATGCTCCATACACTCCAGTGCCAGATCCCACTCCCATGATGCCACCCGTGGGAGTTCAGGCTTCCATTCTGAGTCATGACACCATAAGGATCACGTGGGCAGACAACTCACTGCCCAAACACCAGAAGATTACAGACTCCCGGTACTACACAGTCCGATGGAAAACTAACATCCCAGCCAACACCAAGTACAAGGTATCCACACATTTACTCTGTCTGAAAACAGCTGCTTGTTGATGTTTTCTGGTTCTAAAATTCTTGATTCATCTTTTTCCAGAATGCAAATGCAACAACTTTGAGTTATTTGGTGACTGGTTTAAAACCAAATACACTCTATGAATTCTCTGTGATGGTGACCAAAGGTCGAAGATCAAGCACCTGGAGTATGACAGCCCATGGGACCACCTTTGAATTGGGTATGTGTTGTTGGAACCTGTATAGAACGGCATTTCTTCTCTTTGCAAAGTATGAAAATCAGTGGAAGTTCCTGCTCACGTGCCACATTCCAAGTTATGAAGCTCCTCACTCCCTGCTTTTAATCACCACGAAGAGAAATGAGTGTGTGAAATGATGGTTACCAGACAGTTACATTTGGAGATGTGTTCGCTATATCAGCTACTACTTAGCACATAGCAGGTAGTGCAATTTTAGGACTCCAGAGGTTTGACTTCAGTCTAAGATTATCAATCCTCTACTGGCAGCGTTCACAAGCAGATCATCCTGTCTCTGCATCTTCGCTTCTTGCATCCCGTGAGGAGTAATAATTACTGCCTTTCACTTTACAGGGCTATTGTAAATAAAATGAGGAGCAGATGGGAGAGCATGTGGTGCGATATGTAGCATGGGTTGGATGTGGAAGATTATTGGCATTAATCCTTCTTTACTGGGAAATTGAGATTGAAAAAAAATGAAGTGACCTGCCCTTGACCAACCACTTAGCCAGTCATGCTTGCTGCAGCTGGAACACTTTACTGGGTGACACCAAAGCTACACCCCAAGGTTTTCTTGGGAAAACAGTCTTTGTAAAAAAAAAAACAAAAAACTTTCACTGAAACATCCTTCGAATTTTTGTTTGTAAGTAGATGTGAGAGAGAAAAGATAACTAATCCAATTGCAAGAGTGGAGTCATGGAGGTTTAGACGGCTTGCTTTTCACTCACGTTTAGGCCTATCTTCACTCACCTTGCTCTTTGCTAGCAGGAGGTTATTGTCATCCTGGCCTCCTATGACTTACGAATAATAAAAAAGATGAGCATGCGCACTCTACACCAACTGCCTTGGGCCTTCTGCACCGTTGGTTGGAGTTTCTGCAGAAAAGGGGGATTTGGAAAGTTAGAAATGTAATACATACAGAGTAAATGGACCTTCAGTTTGCTTCCTGTGCCAGTGTCTTAAGAATGTCCTTTTGCAGGCTAGGAAGTGGTAGAATGCTTGCCTCACATGCATGAGGCCGTGGGTTCAATTCCTCAGCACCACATGCACAGAAAAAGTTGGAAGTGGGTGCTATGGCTCAAGTGGTAGAGCGCTCACCTTGAGCTGAAGAGCTCAGGGACAACGCCCAGTCCCAGAGTTCAAGCTCCGCAACTGACACCCCCCCCCCCAAAAAAAAAGGAATGTCTTTTTGCTTTAATTCCAACTTATTAACTAATAAATGAAATTTGTATTTTTCCTTAGGATGTTAGCATTTTACTGGGTTTCTTTCTAACTCCCACTAGAACTCCAGTATTTTAGGAAGAAAGGAGTATATTTGAGGGTTTACTTGGCTTATACATTTCCCTGATAGTACATTAAAAGTATTTTGCAGTAGAAACTGTTCCTTTCATTTTATTTGTGTGTAGCTTTTCTTCAGAGCAGTAACCTTAGTGGGTGACAGCATGCTTTCAGTGTAAGTTTAAAATGAAAAGACTGTCCATTTGCAAATCATTCCTTTCAGGAATTGAGCTTTTAAAAGCCATGCTTCATTTAAAGAGCCAGCTAAAAGTAAGAGGGAAAAGTGTTCTATACTTAAAAACATTCCAAGCAAATCTAGATTGAGAGAAAGTCATCTTAGCAGATCACATCATGTCTCATTTTTAGTGTCTCTGACCTAGAAAGCAAGGACAGTGATAGCCACCTGTCCAGACTGTCACATGAGGAAGGTATTGTTTTTACAGTGCTTGGCATAGGGGTAGTTACTTGACAGCGGCGTGAGTTGATTTTCCCAACTACCCTGTATACCTGATGGCCAGCCAAGATGACAGTTCTGTATCCTCACACCATGTTATTTTCTGTTTGGTACTTTGCTGCTGCTGCTGCTGCTGCTTCTGCTTCCTTTTTCCTTCTTCCTTCTTTGTTCTTCCTCCTCTTCCTCCTCCTCCTCCTCCTTCTTCTTCTTCTTCCGCCTTTTTTGGGGGTGGGGGGGCAGTCCTGGTAGTTTTATTGTGTCTTACAAATGAAAATAGTAGAGAAAGTGGTGGATTGTCCTGATGGATGGGAATGATTGAATGATTGTTATTTCGTAGTTCCTACTTCTCCACCTAAGGATGTGACTGTTGTGAGCAAAGAGGGGAAACCCAAAACCATAATTGTGAACTGGCAGCCTCCCTCTGAGGCCAATGGCAAAATCACAGGTAAGCTGCGCGGATTGCCGCTTTGTGCTCTGTGCCAGGCGAGTGCTGAACAGGGGAGCCTGAGGGCTGCTGTGGTGTGGGTCCTAATGGTCCTCTGGGTTGGCATGAGGATGAACTACATGCCCTCAGTGATGCAGAGTGGGCCTGCTGATGGTTGTGCCACTGCCTGCAGATCTGGTGGGGCTGCGCACTGCACAGCCTCGGCTTATTGGGACGCCGTGATAACCATGCAGTTGTGTTCCTTGGGAAAGCTGCTCAACCCCTCAGTGACCAGCTTTGGAATTGCATGCCCAACATAATTCTGCCAGGCACTACCCAATAAATACCAATTCTGTCATTTTGCCTGAAAGCTGCCTTCCCCCTCCCCCCCCCCCTCAAAAAAGCCCATTTTGGCTTTTAATTCCAACCCTAACTCACCTACAGGTCCCCTCCTTTGGGATTCTGGGCTCTCACAACTATTTAAAAGCCTTCATTGCAATGGCTGTTCCAAGGGACCTGGGACTTTTCCTTGAACTTCCTGTAGTAGAAGACATTGTGGCCTCTTCTGCCTTGCGGAGGGTGGGGGGAGACTGAGGAGATGGCTGCTTCCCTCTGGAGCCCCGGCTCTGGGAAGGAGTGTGCTGAGGAACTGGCCGAGGAACTGGCCTGAGGAAACAGCATCACAGTGCTGTCCTCCTTTCAGCGGGAAGCCTGGGCGCCATAGCATTTCCTCAGGTCTGACTTTGCCTCTTCTGTAAAATGCTCAGGCATAACTTGATTTTGTTTTCCTTTGTCATTTAAAAACAGAAACAACAAGGCATGTGTTAGCACTATTAGGCTTGAGTCACAAAGGCTTCCCAACTGATCAGTGGGGACTGAGTGCCCCCTGGTGGACATATCCAGTGACACTGCACTGAGGCTTCGCCTGTCCTATGTCTGAGAGAATTTTATCAGGTTGCTGTACATCTGCCCTGTATTTTTTTTTTTTTTTCCTGTGATAAGAGCTAAAACAGTATGGCAGGCCACTACCGGGTTTCAGAATTTTATATTGTAGGCTCTGGAGAAGCATTATTCAATTACTGTGAATAAACACCATATGCTTGTATTTACCCTGGTTACAAACAGAAAAGCAGGAGTGAGATTGTTGTTCCCATTGCTCCTTTGGACAGGTTACATCATCTATTACAGTACAGACGTGAATGCAGAGATACATGACTGGGTTATTGAGCCTGTTGTGGGAAACAGACTGACTCACCAGATTCAGGAGCTAACACTTGATACACCATACTACTTCAAGATCCAGGCCCGAAACTCAAAAGGCATGGGGCCCATGTCTGAAGCTGTCCAATTCAGAACGCCAAAAGGTAAAGCTTCCCAAGCAGAAGGTTGGATTTTGTATCTCCCTAGCATATAGAACCTACAGGTAGTATAAGACGTCCTAGTGATGATCCCTCACCTCCCCACCCAGCACCAAATCGGTGTTCCCTGGGTGACCGGCCTAACCGTAACACATACAAGAACACTTGGGCTTTGGGCTATAAACCAATCGCAGTGATCTAAAAGGTTTTATCAGGCAAATCAGATAGGTTCTTTTGGTTACCACACAGAGTAATAAGCATGTTATTTTGATAGATGGTTCTCTTTTAACAGGCAGGCTTTTATTTGTTACGTAAGCTTATAGGTGAATCTTTATAGAGAATAAGAGACTAAGAGGGCCTTTTCTATAAAACTCAAGGCAAAGAAACTAAAGTATTGAACCAAGCAAGGCTAGACTAATAAAGTTTAGTTGGGGACCGTGTCTATGGAATTGTGGAAACCTGCATTTCTTTTCTGTTGGTACTATAAAAGCAAAACTCAATTTGTTTGGAAGCTTATGGGGATTTAATTTTTTTTCCTTTAAAACTCTGTCTGTCCCATCTTCAAAGCTTGTGATCCTTGCTCTTGTTTTTTCTTCCCCCGTGCTTGGCTGGTTAGCGGACTCCTCTGATAAAATGCCTAATGATCAAGGTAAATGAGTAGATGGCCTCTCATTCCTTCTCTCTCGTGACCTATCATTAGCTTTTCATTTTTGTTTCCTTTTTTTTTCCTGAAAACTAGAACCATGTGTTAAAAGTTATATATCGATTGCCCAGAGTGGCGTGGAGTCCATATTTGTGGCACTTGGGGTATCTGAAAAGCTGGGATTTCACTTAGGAGGAAATAAACTGGCAGAAAAAAAGCTGAGCTGAATAAACTGGGTCTGCAGCTGTAGGAGACAGGCCTTACATGTAGGCCAGATCATCAGAGGTGATGCTAAGACACTGAAGTATTGTGTGATTGGGATAAGCCTTTGAGTCACACCCAGACTGGCCATACCAGGTTTTCATATTTTTACCATCTAAAATCCCATCTAGAATTTTATCAGTGACTCTGAATGAGAAGTTGTTTCAAAATTCAGTTAGTCTCCCATTTTCCTCTCCCAACAAAGAACCCATAGATATTTCCTACTAAGTGATATTATCCAACAGACCCTAGTTTATTCCATTACAATGAATGAAGTCAGAGCTTTTTTTCCATTTCTTCTCCTAATGGCATCTCATCATCTTCAAGCTATTTAACCTGGAAGCTTAGGAAGTATGGTCTTTGGGGTCCCCTTTCTTAAGGTCATCTGTCAGCTTCTGTTGTAATTGTCATGGTAGAGGGAAGGGCAGTTGTCCTTTGTAGGTTTTATTTCTAGAAGTTAGCTAAAGCTGGATTTTCAAACTGAGAACACTAAAGGTAAAGTTGCCAATGGCTTAAGAGTGATCATTGGAAATATAACATCATTAAGTATTACAGGCGTGATAGCACAGGTCTATAACCCCAGCCACTCAAACAAGAGAGAACTGAGTGTGTGGCTCATGTGGTAGCATGCTTACCTAGCCATTGCAAGACCATAAGTACAAATCCCAGTTCTGCATCCTCCCCCCCCCCCCCCCCCCCCGCAACAAAAAGAAATAGAAGGGTTGGGGTCTTAATACAGGGAGAATCAGAACTTGGAACTGTTGAGTCTCCTGTACATTAAGGAAACTGCAGGCATACATCTTTGGGCATGTGGAAGTTGGAATATAAATTACCGTGCATATGTGCAGAATATAAGTATGCCCTTTTCACCACACCAGTGTGAGTCTTCACGCACTTCAGCTTTGGTATTCAGAATTCTTCACCCATTGGTATTTTGGTGCTAGTTTCATCTGTGTGTGTGTGTGTGTGTGTGTGTGTGTGTGTGTGTGTGTGTGTGTGTGTGTGTGTGTGATTATTATGATACAGTGCTCTGGATAGTTCTGTACCTGGTGAGCACAGAAACTTAACAACTAGACTTTTTTGGAGGAAAAAAAAACAATCATATGACAGGCAAATGGAATCTTGATAGGCTGTGTGTGTGTCAGGATGATGGGGAATGAGGGATCAGATATGATAGTGTCAAGAGTGGGCAGTGGGAAAATCATGGCCTGCGTTAAATCAGAGAATACATGCTTTCAGATATCCAAGAACGTTCATGCTTTTGTGCATTTTCAACTTTGGGGGGAAAATAGCATTGTTTTAGTCTCTAAATTTATTCTGTTAAATGAACTGCTTAGAATTTCAGATTTGAATTTTTTTTTTATTTCTTTGAAATCTCATCATTTAGAAAAGGACTTGGTAGGCACTATTAGCTCACTCCTGTAATCCTAGCTACTTAAGAGGCTGAGTTCTGAGGATCATGGTTCAAAGCTAGCCCAAGCAGGAATGTCTGTGTGACTCCTTATCTCTTATGTTATCTGGCACCAAAGAAGTAGAGCTATGGCTCAAGCGGTAGAGTGCTAATCTTGAACACAAAAGCTCAGCCCACACCCTGAGCTCAAGCCCCTGGACCAGCATAAAAAAGAAAGAAAAGAAGAGGACTTGGCATAGTTGTAATGTTCGGAGAGGCACATCTAGTTTGTGTACTTCTAATCAAGCTTTATTTGTAGAAATAACTTTCATAACTGTTTTCTGAAGCTCCATACTCTGTGACAGGAAAGATTATGTTCTTTCCCTGAAGATTCATTATGCATGTAATGATGATAGTTTATAATAAAAATCCTTTATTGAAGCCAGGCACTGGTGGCTCACACTTGTAATCCTAGCTACTCAGGAGGCTGAGATCTGAGGATCACAATTGAAAGCCAGCCTGGGCAGGAAAATCAGAGATTCTTATTTCCAATTAACCTCAGGAAATAAAAACAAAAATGGTAGTAGGGCTGTGGCTTGAAGTGGTAGAGTGCTAGCTTTGAGCAAAAGAACTTGGGGACAGTTCAAGTCCACAATGACAAAAAAATTCCATATATATACATATATATATATGTATATATATGATATGTGTATATATACATATATATATATGTATATATATGATATGTGTATATATACATTATGTTGAACATTTACTATACATCAGGCAGTACTCAAAATATTTTATAGTATTAAATTTCCATTTATAGTCACATCGATAGCATTAGCATCCCTGTTTTACAAGGAAGAAACTGAAGCCCCAAAAGAATAGTTAAGTAACTTGGCTAGATGCAAACTTTTGAGAGATGACAGAGCCTGGTATTCAGATGTGGTCTGTTGAGCGCTCTACTGTGTTAGTCAGGAGGAGCAGCTCTAACCTTGCAGTTTGTTCCTATTTCTTTGGACGAGGAACATGTTTCTGGCCACAAACCTTGGGTGGTTGTATGGGCAAGGGTTGAAAGTGGTATTTACATTAACTGAGGCACACTATTGAGGTGGTCCCCAAAAGCCTGAGGTGGACCACTCCCTTTGCTGTGTCTGTGATGAGTTAGGGGACAGTGACCCTTGTGAGCAACTACAATTAGAAAGAGGATGTTAGAATGACAGGAAGAACAGAGAACCCAACCAAGCTCCTTTGAGTGAATCTCCCTGCCTCCCACTTTAGGCTTCTTTACTCTTGGAAAGGCAATTTCTTGATGTGAGAAGAGAATCAGAATTGTACTCACACTGGCCAGGCCAGATTAGCATAGCCAGGTTCTTGGAAGAGTGTAGTTCTGTGATGCAGGCCTCAACCTAACTGATGGCTCTGGTTCCTTTTCCAAAAGAAGTTACTTCTGCCATAAGTCCTCCAGATGTGAGCTCTTCCCTTGGGCTGGGGGAGGCTGGGTGTGCCCACTTCCTGACCTGCAGCACAGCAATCAGGTCACAACTGTGTGACGTTGGTGTCAGCCTTTCAGATGCCTCAGTGTATGGAAAAGCTGTACCCTAGTTTCCTTGCACATGTAGACTAGATTCCCCCCTGTTGTTTATGTGTTAACTTTGTTTCCTCAGACTAGACTGAAAATGTTTCGTTTATTTTGTAGAAAACACCTGCTCGCTGTGACATGAACTGTCACACCAGTGTGTGGGTCCTTACTGACATGATTCCTTCTGCTTCAGCCTCAGGGTCTGCAGGAAAAGGAAGCCGGCTGCCAGACCTAGGATCCGACTACAAACCTCCCATGAGTGGTAAAGTCCTTCAGCTTCTTAGCCTACTATGAGCATGAGGTTTTCTGCTTACACACCCTACTGTGTGTCTTAGAGCTTGGATAGTGGATGATAGCATGCTCTCCTCTTTCCTTTGTTGAGCACTTGTGGCAAATGTTTACCAAATGACTGCAAGCCCATGTATTATAGGATATGTAAATAAAATTCTTTCTCCACGTAGCCAACTTAGGACAAGATTAATTTCTAAACAAATGGCTCTCTTTCCTGCTTCCTCCAGAAAGAATTGGACCTTCAGAAATAAGTCCTCTAGTGGGGATAGCCAAGGAGGCCCAAAGAAATGTCCAGAATCACAAAGTTCTCCTAGTACTACCTACTTTTTTTTTTTTTTAAGTTTAGTGATTCTAGAAAATTCTTCCCACTTTCCTCACCACTGTAAAAATGAATGCCTTCTAATTCAACAACACCTCTTTTTCTACAGAATTTCATTCAACATTTCCAAGTTACTTCTACACCAGAAATCACCTGAAATTTGAGCCTTACAACTCTGGGCAGCAGGGAAAATGGGTGCCATTATTCCCAGCTAATGTGTTAAGATAGATGTGAAGAAGTAATATGCCTGGGGCCACCTGCTAATTCTGGCATAGAACCAAAAGTCAGGTCTCTGTGTTTTGCCACTGTCACATGCAACCTAAATGGGACTCTGCACCAGACATGAGAATCCTGAATGGCAAAGTGTCCATAAATGTCGTTCCTAGAGGCTGAGCAATAATGGGTCATGCCTGTAATCCTAGTTTCTTGGGAAAAGAGGCAGGAAGATTGGGAAACAGAGGCAGGAAGACTGGATGTTGGAGACAGGCCGGGCAAAGCTAGTAAGGCAAAACAAAAATAAAGATAAAAGAGCTGAAGGCTATGGCTCAAATGGCACTCAAGACCTTCAAGGTACATATGCAAAACCCTGGGTTCAATCCTCAATACTGCCAAAAGATTGTTCTTAAAAAGTTACCAGAATTGATCCTTATTATCTTATCACCTCTGTCTATAGGTACATAGAAAAGAAAGTACAGTCTTATAGAAACTCATAGTCTAGCTGTGGCAATACAGTGTTCTGTCCATGTCCATCTGTCTGGTGGTGCTGTTGCCTGGCGTTGGGGCTCACACCTATAATCCTAATTACTCAGGAGGCTGAGAACTGAAGATTGTGGTTTGAAGCCAGCTCAGGCAAGAAAGCTCACTATGTGACCCTTTATCTCCAGTTAATCAAATTAACCAAAAAGCTTGAAATGAAACTGGCTGAAGTGGTAGACTGTAGGCAGCACCCAGATCCTGAGTTCAAGCCCAGAACTGTCCCCCCCAAAAAAGGTTCTGTCCATACTTGACTGAAGTCAGCCTCTTTTTAGAACTAGACCAGCTTGCACCATACCCTAGCTCCCAGCTGTGGTTCACAGTGGCTTCCCACCAGTGCCCAGCACTTTTGCTGACAAAGGCCCTGTTGGAATATGAATGGGTCAGTCCCAGTAGTGTCATCTTCTCCTTTTTCTTTTTCTTTTTTTTTTTTTTTTTTTGTCGGTCATGGGGCTTGAACTCTGGGCCTGAGCACTATCCATCAGCTTTTCAGCTCAAGGCGAGCGCTCTACCACTTGAGCTACAGCCCCACTTCCAGTAGTGTCATCTTTTCAAAGACAAAAACATTACTTTATTGAAGGTCAGTGTGGGTATGGACAGTTTACATCATCTGCTTTCCTTTTTCTCAGAAACGAAGGCTTAGAAATGATTGACCAAAATGTAAATGAGTAAGCTTCTAAGCCCTTCTAAATCAGCCTAGATTTAGCCCTGTGTTAGATGTAGTCTCTAAAATCACAGAATCAAAGTTGGAAGGCCAGCTAATCCAGCATTGCAGGACGTATTCCCACAGTGGGTAAAGTTTGAATTAGTCCATAAGTGTATAAAGCAGGTGGCATAAGACTTGCTAGGGGAAATTTCTCCACAAACACAGGTTCTCACAACAAGGATGCCTCATCCTACATACTTCTAACAACTAGTGACTCATTACCCAACAAGGCAGGAGGCTCATCTCATTATTGTTAGACTCAAAGAGGATAATTACAAGGAAAGATACCAGACATCCAGTGCTTAGGTCTGTGTGCCTCATTTTGACTTAATTAATGAGGTGGGAAGCCAAGAAATACGTTTCAAAAAGTAGAAGACACCAAGACGTGTTTACATTATAGAAGACTATGATAAAAAGCCTCAACCTCATCCTATAAGTAATGGGAAATGGCAACAATAAAAAGAAGAAAATAGGAATTTCTTTAAGGGCTAAACTGATCTGATCTCTGTGTATCTCTGGCCTCATCTACACTTTTTTCTTCTCATTTCCTTCCCGCTGAATCACATCTCAGTACTGCCTTTTCTTGCTTCAGAACCAGAGAGCTCTGCCCTGAGATTTTTTTTTTTTGTCGGTCATGGGGGCTGAACTCTGGGCCTGGGCGCTGTCCCTCAGCTCTTCAGCTCAAGGCTAGCAACCTACCACTTGAGCCACAGCACCACTTCCAGCTTTTTTCTGCTTATATGGTGCTGAGGAATCGAACCCAGGGCCTCCTGCTTGCAAGGCAAGCACTCTACCACTGAGCCACCTTCCCAGCCCTTTCCTGACATTTTTTTTTTTTTATTGTGAAAATACTGTACAGAGGAGTTACAATTACATGGGCAAGATAATGAGTACATTTCTTATCAAGCATTGTAGCCTCCTCCTTTGTTTCCCCTTCCCATCCCTTCCCATCCACCCCCTCCCACCCAATCCTCTCCGCCCCCCCCCTTTTCCTGAGATTTTTGTGTAATGGAATCCTCCTTTACCTTCCAGATATCAGCTCAAGTGCCATTGTCTCAGAAAAACTCCATTCTCCCTCCTTTCCTCCTTCTTTCCTTCCTTTCTCCTTCCCTTCTTCTCTCCCTCCTCCCTTGCTTCCTTTCTTTTTAATTCACTTATCAATACAGTAGAACAGATTAAACCAAATTGAATGTAGAATCCAGATTGAGTACTCCAGACAGCTGGATGCATGTGGTTTGTCTCCTCAGTCCCTGTCTACAGGACTCTGGGAGGTTCTTGGAATGTGTAAGTGTGGGCTTCAGGTCTGGCTCCTCCAGTGCTGTGGAAAGGGATTGTCCACATGGGCCAGTGCCCTGTGCTCCTCCTCTGTGCCACTTGCATATCCCTAGGCATCCACGTTGTCCTCCTTTTTTTTTTTTTTTGGCTGGTCATGGGGCCTGAACTCTGGGCCTGGGCACTGTCCCTCAGCTCTTCAGCTCAAGGCTAGTGCTAGGCATCCACGTTGAATTCAGAACAGCTTTATTAATCTTTCTGCCTAAATTAGCCACACAGTCACCCTATCATATTCCTCATTTTATTTTCTGGTATGGCACTCATTATTACTAACTAGTAATTTCTTCTTTATTGCTTGCGCCTGCCCAACCCCAACAATAATAGAAACACACCTTTATTGTTCACCATTTAGTACCTAGAGCATGATTTCAACATAATAGCCAACTAAAATAGTCACCAGGTTAATAATGCAAATTTGTAGACCTACTTTTAACTCTGCATAGTCTATTTATCAAAAAATATTTTCAAAAAATTCTTTTGTAATCTCAGCAATTTCTAAACTAGGGACAACTTTTGCTTTCTGTAAATATATATACATACATATTTTTCAATGGTTTTGAAAGCCAAAAGAACTAAATGACTTAGAAATAGTACTTTCCAAGGCACATTGTGTGTGTGTGTGTGTGTGTGTGTGTGTGTGTGTGTGTGTGTGTGTGTATATAAAAATATATAAAACAAGGGAGACACCAGGAAGGCAAGACCCTTTATCCATCCAAGTATATCTGAGCCTTTGAAACCTCTTGAAATCACAGCGCAGTTCAAGAAACTTTATTGAATACTGTCCTTGCCCTGCTGGGCCCTGCATTTGGGGAGTGTCTTGGCTTATCATCTGGAGAGTTCATCACCTTCTCAAAGTGTGATAGTTAGGAAACATTGCACTCCTGTGGGGTGTCTTTGTGTTTGATAGCCTGATTGAATGCATTTTTGAAAATGAGTAAGTTAACAAATGTCCATTTTCCTGTGCAGGCAGCAACAGCCCTCACGGAAGCCCAACGTCTCTAGACAGCAACATGCTGCTGGTCATCATCGTCTCTGTTGGCGTCATCACCATTGTGGTGGTGGTGATCATTGCCGTCTTTTGTACTCGGCGCACCACCTCTCACCAGAAAAAGTAAGCAGCCCCAAATGTCTCCATAAAGTTTCCACTTTTACTTCTGTACACCTGTTCTTAAGACTGGTACAAAGAATTGAAAGGAAGAGCACATGAAAAGCATGTCAAATGCAGTGTGTGATTGTATGTAAAGCAGCACAGGACCATGTATATGACAGTAGTCCCATGCAATGATAGTGGAGTTTAAAAATTCTCAACATCCAGTGAAAAGAAGAGTCTTAAGAGCAAGAGAAAAAGCAGCTGCAGAAGGGAAGAACTCCCAAGAACATTCTCAGCAAAGAGTCAGCTTTTACACACCCTCACAAGCTCCTTAAAACATTTGGAATCATAGACCTCCCCACACACATATCACACATACTCTCCGCACTAGCAGTGAGGAATGCTCTTGGTGTACTGTTTATAAGGTGATGAAAGGAAATTAATCAAGCAGACAGGGAAGAGCCCCAGATCAGTCCCCAGAAGAAAGCACTATTATCCTGGGAGACCCAGACCCTGTGGTTACTGCCCACAGGCTCTCCCAGGGGTCAGGGTATGACACCAATGACAGTGATGTATTGTTGTCAGTTTCTGACCCCGGGGAGGCTGAAGCTACTGTGTAAGGAATTTTATTTTATTTTTTATTTTTTTGCCAGTCCTAGGGCTTGAACTCAAGGCCTAGGCACTGTCCCTGAGCTGCTTTTGCTCAAGTCTATCACTCTACCACTTGAGCCACAGTACCACTTCCAGCTTTTTCTGTTTATGTGGTACTAAGGAATCAAACCCAGGGCTTCATGCATAATAGGCAAGCAGTCTGCCACTAAGCCACATTCCAGCCCCCAAAAGGAATGATTTTAAGAGTAGAAATAAAGTATTAGTCTCCACTAAACCACTAAAAAACCAGAAGTGCTGCTGTGGCTCAAGCGGTAAAGCACTAGCCTTGAGCTGAAGAGCTGAGGGACAGCACCCAAGCCCAGAGTGCAGGCCCCACGACCGACCCAAAAAAAAAGAAAGAAAGAAAGAGTCTTACAGACTTTCCTGCCCAGGCTGTCTTTGATCCTCCCGTCTCAGCCTCTTGAGTAGCTAGGATTACAGGTGTGAGCCACTGGCACCCAGCCATTATCTTTTATACCATATTTTTGCTGTATGCTTCCTGTCTAGTATACAAATGCTTACTAAGTGTTATAATTGCCTTCCAAGTTCAGTATTATGACATGCTGAACCCACTTGTATCCTAGAAGCCACAGCTATCCCATGGCAGCCTGGATAGGGGAGTGGTCTTCCTCCAGATATATGATACTTACATGATAGCACAACATATCATTGTTAGATGACACACAACTGTATTTTTTTTTTCATTTTTTTGATTGTTATTATAAAAGTGATGTACAGAGGGGTTACAGTTATGTAAAAGTCAGATAGAGTACATTTCTAGCTGAGCACTGGTAGCTCACGCCTCTAATCCTAACTACTCAGGCTGAGATCTAGGATAACAATTCAAAGCCAGTCTGGCAGGAAAATCCGTGAGACTCTTTATCTCCAATAAACTACTCAGAAAAAACCAGTAGTGCTGTAGTTCAGGCAGTGTGAGGTTCATGATCAAGCCTACAGCAGTCTGTGTCCAGCCAAGGTGTGAGAAAACCATAAATCTCTAATTATAAATGGAAATTTTGGAAGATTTTTAAAAGAAGTGCTGCCAAGCATGTGGAGAGGGTATTACTCTAATAGCTGGTTGGCAGTTACAAGCTTCACAGAGCTCTCTGGGATGTCAAGACTTGTTCCTAATACAAAGAGCAAGGCATTCAGCCACATAGTACTTGATGACACGCACTACCATGCTGAGCTAGAGAACCCTCATCTATCTGGTCAGCAAGACAGTCAGAGAGGAGATTTCCAAGTTGCCCCTAATAGCAAAATCACGTCGATACAGCATCCTAAGAGGTTGTGAGGGGGATTTGCTCCATAAAGTGGAAAATCATGTCTGTGGTTGTGGGTATCTTTCAGATTTGATCCACCCAAGGCAAGAATGCATATGTTTAATATAATGATCTATTTATTTTCAGCATATAGGGCAGGGCAAGAGCTGCTAAGAATGACTTTGTCTTTTTCTGTAGTTTATGTGGTATTTTAAACCTCTTTCTTTTGCTCAAATAAAACAGCTTTCCATGGCTTACATTACCTCACTTTTCCAAGAGAATGAGAATGAGGACTCCTTTTATATCCTTCCTGATCACCACCTCTTACAGCGCCCTGGCCACTTTGTATCGTGGAAAACTGTATTTCTTAAAAGCTTCAAAGACTATATTTTTTTTTGTCTACTCTAGAACTTTTCTGCAAGCTTCTTTATTTGGCATTTTACATTTACCTATCTTTATGAACTTAGCTTTTATATCCTGTTTGAGGATTTTTGAGGTCTTTATTTAATAGAATCTAAAAGCCAAAAGGACAAAGAATTCCTTAGTGCTTTAGATTTAAAATTCAAAGTAAACAAACTTCATGGCACTTGGTCTTCAGATTCAGAGTAGGAAATAAGCTGACAATAGGCTGTGTACTCAAATGGAATCTGCAAATGCTCCAGGTTTGAGTTCTGTTTTTAAAATAATGATGTCAAGTCTTCTAGGGCTTTTTCTTTTCATTGCCTCAACAACTGCTTTCTAAGTATTCTGTTAGACAATTAAAAGTAAGAGCTTTTCTTTTTCTTGTTGCTTTTCCTCCTAAAACCTAAAGTACTTTCCACTTAGCTAGTAACTATCTATAGCATTTTGCAACCCCAAATCAGTAGTGAATTTAGAAAGCCTAACCTTGTTCACTTGAGCTCCCTCGCTCTCAACAGATGGCCCAGCTTCTTCAAGATGAAGGTGGAGCCATCAGAGGAACTATTGGTCTGTTTTGTGTTGTTTTATCAAAATGCTTAAGGTTGGGTACTTTATAAAGAGGCTCATCTGGCTCATGATTCTGGCAGCTGAAAAAACCTAGTGCCAATGTCCTGGTGAGAGCCCTGGGTCACAGAAGCAGAAAAGGAGCTGGTTGTATGCACAGGAGGAATTAGGAGCAGGTGCCAGGCTCCCTTACAACACCCACTTCTTTAGGAAACAAGCCTGGTCCTGTGAGAACTGTCTACAGCTTCTCCATGTGACCTAATTTGCCTCCACTAGTCTTTGTCTCTTAAAAGGACCGCCTCTTTCTGTCATTAATAGTAGACACCACACTTTCACTATAAAAACTTGTAGGGGATACACCATATCCAAACCACAGCAGATGAGAAGTGCCCCAGCATACTACCATCTAATCTCAATCCTTTCTACACTGGGAACAGCTGTTCCCTCCCCCTTCCTAAGTGTACTTCTTCCCTTTCAAAGCCAGCTCCTCTGTTTGTCCTCTGTTCTCATTGTCGTCTGTCTTTCTATGATCTTTTACTTGTTGATATCCCTTTCTCCAGCTCTCACTCTATTGGCTGTGTTCCTTCAGCTTAAAGTATACTCAAGACTTCCATCTTGAGAAATAATTATAATTATAACCCTCCTACTACATGATTCCTACCACTAGCTGCTTACAAACCCTTTCCTGACTCTTTTCCCAAAATACCTTGAATATAGTCACCTGTCAGTATCCATGATAGTCCCTTTGGTGATACCAAAATTCAAGGGTACTGAAGCCCCTTGTATAGAGTGGCTTAATACTTGCATACAACCGACACATACCCTCCCCTACATTTTAAATCATCTCTGGGGTGCTTATACACACTGAATATCTCTTTATATACACGGGATTGGAAGTGTTCCCGATTTCAGCATTTTTCAGATTCTGAAATATTTGTATAATTTACGAATTTGAGCTCTCATTGATCAGAAACCTTCAGGATTTTGTAACTTTTTTTCTCAAATTTTAATTTTTATTAAAAAGCTTTGGTGGGAGTTGAGACAAGGTCTCAACTATGTATAGTTCAGGCTGGCCTCAAATTCATGATTTCTCCTGCCTGAGCCTGCCAAAGTGCCAAGATCACAGTTGTGTGCTTCCATGCTCAGTAGATTCAGACTTTGTGCAGCCTGTAACACCTAATACTGCATATGTGACTATGATCTCAAAAGATTATATCACTTATTGGCATGTTTATGTCTGATTGCTACACACCAAAATGCCTAAGAATGTATTCCATAGGAATCCTTCCCCCTTCCTAAGTGTCTCTTAACCAGCTACCCTTCCTTCTGGAAGTATTCTCTCGTGTCCTTTTTCAGTCCCTCCTCTCTACCCAGCCACTATGTGCAGGCATTTCTGTGGGCCTGGGCTTATCTCTTCTTCCATGCTCATCTAGTCCTGCGATCTCGTCTCCTGTGTGCACCCCATGCCCCTCTCCTTTAAGGATCAGACTTCAGCCTCTCTTCTATTTCTTCATAAAGAGCCGCTTCAAACTCGGCATGTCCAAAGCAGTTCATGATTATTTCCATCAGACAGCTTCTAGTCCATTATTCTCAGTGTTAGTAAGTGGCTTAAGCCAAAAGAAACCTGTCTCATCCTTTATTCCTTTCTTGTCCTCTACTCCACCCTTCGTCCCTTTTTTTCTTTAAGTCCTATCATGTCTGCTTCCTAAACACCTTTCAGATTTGCCTCTTCTTTCCATTCCCACTGTAAGAAAACTGAGTCAGTAGAGTTTCAGAATAAAGAAAGGGCAGAAAACAAACTTAACATACCAACAGGTTTTATTTGGGAGTGAATCTGGGAAGGGCTACCAAGTCTCTGCAGCCTGGCTGAAGGGAACATAGAACACACTCCCCTCCCCCACCCCCCTTATAACTAGGGCTCTTTAAATATTAGGCAGAATGAAGTCAGGGCATGACAGGAGGGGGGCAGATGGAAGCAGGGTGAGATGGAGGCGCAGGTGGGTGAGCATTGATATTTTGGTGGAAGAGTTTCAAGGTTTCAACAGTGTCCTAACTGTCTTCACCTCATAGCTGGTCTAAAGTTGTAACTTAAAACTCATCTCCTTATTTTCTTGCCATGGAAATTTCTCCAAGAGCCTTTTATAATATTCTCCTGAGTACTTCCCAGCTTATATGCAGTCATTCTCTGCATGGTTCCCTACACACACACACAGGCACACACACTCAAGATTCAGAATCTCTCTAACATAATGCCTTGTACAGAAAGTGCATTCCAGGTGGTGACATCTGCTTCAGGTCTTTGACATAAGCTGATTTCACCACCTAGAATGCACTTTCTGTCTCGATTATATCTCCACATAAACGTTATGTCTTCACTTGTGTGTGTGTGTGTGTGTGTGTGTGTGTGTGTGTGTGTGTGTGTGTGTGTGTGTATCTATGTTATGTCCACCTATTAAGATGTTATCCTCACACTTGGCATTTCACTAAACTCTGAGCATTTAAAAATAGTAACTCAATGTCTGTCTTCCTCACTTGACCAGAAGTACTGAGGGCGCAGTACTTGACATAGTTGATTATTAAATAGACAATGAGTGACTGTGGGAGGAAGAAGCTAAGGCACAGCGAAGGACACCATTGTCCCCATTTTTGACTCTAGTTACCTGGAAAGTGACTCACTCCTCCCTCCCTCCCTCCCCCCCCACCTCCCTCCCCTTCCTTTATAAAGTCATAGACTTCACCTGGTTCCTCCTCCTGGAGGAGGAGAGTTCTTTTTAGAGAATTTGATAATCAACACACAAAAAAATAGGCAGTATGCAGATAAACACTAACACAGTTCAAAACATAAGAAAACGTACTGTTTCAAAAAGTAGACTTTTTGCCTCTGGTTTTTGTTTTGCTTTGTTTTGTCTTTTTGTGGGTTTTTTTGTTTGTCTGTTTGTGCATCTTATGTTAGTTTCTGGCTTTGACAGATATGTTCAAAAGGTTTGGGTTATTTTTTTCTTTTTGTCAGTCATGGAGCTTAAACTCAGGGATTGGGCATTGTCCCTGTGCTCTTTTGCTCAAGACTAGAACTCTACCACTCTGAGCAACAGCCTTATTTCTAGTTTTCAGGTGGTTAACTGGAGATAAGAGTCTCATGAACTGTACTGGGCTGGGCTGGCCACAATCCTCAGATCTCAGCCTCCTAGTAGCAAGGATTACAGGCCTGAGCCACTAAGGCCCGGCTAGGATTTTTTTTTTTTTTAATAAAACTCCATTTAAGCCAGGTGCCGTGGCTCACACCTGTAATCCTAGCTACTCAAAGGATCATGGTTCAAAGCTAGCACAGGTGGGAAAGTCCATGAGACTCTTATCTCCAATAAATTGCCAAAAAAGTGACAGAAGTGGCTTGTGGTAGAGTGCTAGCTTTGAGCAAAAAGTAGCTCAGGGATAGTGCCCAGGCTCTGAGTTCAAGTCCCAGGACTGGCAAAGAAAAAAAAAAAAACTCCTTTCAATTTCATATTTAGGAAACGAGCTGCCTGCAAATCAGTGAATGGCTCCCACAAGTACAAAGGTAACTCCAAGGATGTGAAACCTCCAGATCTCTGGATCCATCACGAAAGGCTGGAGCTGAAGCCCATTGATAAGTCCCCAGACCCAAATCCTATCATGACGGATACTCCAATTCCTCGCAATTCTCAAGATATCACACCGGTTGACAATTCCATGGACAGCAATATCCATCAAAGGCGAAATTCATACAGAGGTAATTTTCAGGGCAGGTTTTTTTCCCTACACATTGAGAGAGTATGTTCGTTTAAATTCTTTTCTACTTTGCGTGGTTGCCTTAACTTGGTGATTCATATAAAAGGTTGTTTAAAGAAATGTCTTATGAGATTTGGTCAGCATTGGATAGAGGGCTTGTTAGGGGAGGTTCTGTACCCATAGGGACAGTCATATTCTACTCAGGCATGTGAACCCCCTAGCCCACACCTGCTCACTGCTTTACTCACCGCGGTGGGACTCTCACTATCCTGATTTCAGACATTGGTGATCTAGATGCCCTTACAGACATGCACCGAAGCACAGTGGGCATTGTTTGTGAGTCCTGGGCATCCCACTGGAAATGTTCTTCTGTGGAGACTGCTCAGTGGCCTAGAGCAGATGCTTGAAGCTAACCTCCTGGTTGATGTCTAGGGCATGAGTCAGAGGACAGCATGTCTACATTGGCTGGAAGGCGGGGAATGAGACCAAAAATGATGATGCCTTTTGACTCTCAGCCACCCCAGCGTAAGTAGAAGCTTCTCTTTTCCCAGTGCTGTGGGTCTGTCCCATCATGTGGGGAACAGCAAGGGTCATCTCTTTGACTCTCCTTGATCTAACACTAAAGATAAAGGTATGACACCTTGAAGGAAGAAAGGGCAAACTCTTGCCATGTTGTGCAGATAAATAGCATTCTTAAGGCTAGCATCTTTAAGCTATGGATAAATAAACTAAAAAGCCCATTTACATTGTCTCCCAGGAGTAGCAAACTGTCCATTTCTCTTACTGGCATCTCCATGAGAGATGGGGATACGTTGCTTGAGACTCAGGCGCTGAGCTTTACAAGATGCCACCTGTGTTCCTTCAGCTTCCTCACATGTGTTCAGAGGATCACCTATGGAGTTTAATTTTTTATTTTTGCCAGTGCTGGGGCTTGGACTAAGGGCCTGGGCACTGTCCCTGAGCTGCTTCTGCTCAAGGCTAGCACTCTACCACTTCTGGCTTTTTCTGTTTATGTGGTCGAACCCAGAACTTCATGCATGCTAGGCAAGCACTCTACCATGAAGCCACATTCCCAGCCCAGAACTTAATTTTTAATTAGTAGACTTTATATTTTAGCGTTGCTTCAGATTGGCAGCACAAAATTTTGAAAGCAACTGTTTGTTTTTTTTTTTATGTCTGCTGACCAGTGTCTCATTTTGATAAGCATGAAAGTTGCTGATCCTCCTTTAATAATAGTTGTACATACCTGTAATCCCAGCACTGCAGAGGCTAGTGAGGCCAGAGGATTAGGAGTTCAAGGCCTACCTGAGCTACTTATTGAGTTCCAGATCAGCCTGAGCTACATAAGAAAACACTCACAAAATCAAAAAGGAATGACACCAATTCTTTTTTTCAAACTGTTTCCCCTCCCTTGTCTCTGTTTTCAGGATAGCCTTTTGGACTGACAATGTGGAGCTTCCAGTTAAGGAATCTCTGCCAACAAAAATGCTATTTAAATAGCCTCGAATGTCCTACATACAAAGAAATGCTTCATAGCATCCTCTTTGGAGAATTTCTCTTCCCACACTTGCGTTGAAACTTCTGAGCACCATGCACATGTGTGCGCACACACATACACACACACACACACAGTGCACACTTAAAATTATGAGTTTGAGAGGGTGAGGCCCTATTCCATAAAAGGTAATTTCTGTACACAGTAACTTATGCTAGGCAGGCCTAGACTTGAAAACTTTCAGGGAAAAACCATGGTGTCCCTATGTAAGAGGTGCCCTGTATAAGTCCTTCCATGCTTAGGACACAAATGTTCATAAAGAGTAAAAGTAAATCCATTAAAATTGCTTATTATTTACAAGAAGATGCTCGCTTAAGTGCTTATTCATTTCTATAAGAGCTCCTACTTAAATTGGCTTATTTTGAAAACTTGTAAAATTGGACAGTCTCTACTTCCAGATTTATTACTTTTAGATAGGTTAAAGAAGAAAAGATGTTATTCCAATAGACATTTGTTTTTCCTCCCAGTACTGGTGTTTGAATTCAGAGGCTTTAGATCTCACTCACCTTTTTCACTCACTACTGCTGCTCTTCTACTGGAGCCACTTTTGACTTGTTACTGGTTAATTAGAGATAAGAGTTTCTCAATTTGTTTGCCCAGCCTGGCTGCAAACCATAATCCTTAGATCTCAGCCTCCTGAGTAGCTAGAATTATAGGCATGAGCCACCAACATCTGGCTTAACATCATCCTTTCCTCTCCCTTTCTTCTCCTCCTCTCTGTCACACCATCCCCTCTCTCTCTCTCTTGTTCTCTTTTGTGTATTCCCTTTCTCCCACTCTTTTTCATGGTAGTGGTGCGTGGTACTCCATGGCTTGCACTTGGGGGCTTCCTTGCCTTACTTGGCCTTCTTGCTCATGGCTGGCACTCTACCATTTGAGCTTGAGCCACACCTCGTCTTTTTTTTTTTTTTTTGTATAGTGGGGAAGGAGTATACATGAATATACTGTATCATAATTTGTGCCCCACATAGTGGGGTAGTAAGTAGACATTTTTTATTTTTATTTTTATTTTTTTGTCAGTCGTGAGGCCTGAACTCTGGGCCTGGGTGCTGTCCCTCAGCTCAAGGCTAGCGCTCTATCACTTGAGCCACAGCGCCACTTCCGGCTTTTTCTGCTTATATGGTGCTCAGGAATCAAACCCAGAGCCCCATGCATGCAAGGCAGGCACTCTACCACTGAGCCACCTTCCCTCTAAGTAGACATTTTTAATTTAGAAAACTGAAACCAGATGCCTAAATATACTTTATAACTTTTTAGGATCCTTTTCAAAACCTACATGACTACTACAAGCTGGGGATCCTTGAGCTCTGAATGTAGGAGGGGGCTGGAGCCACGCATTCAGCATTCACCTGCCCTGATAGCTAAATGTTTATTGGTGTTAGGAAAGGCTTGCGGGCATCAAGATGAAGTTCAGGCCAAGGCCGTGCCCAGAAGCAATTATGCTTAGATTCAGCTAACAGCTACAGTTTGCCCACTCTAGTTGGTCACATTCATGTTTTGTTTTTTATTTATTTGGAAGCACTAGAAATACCGTTTAAAGGGAAAACTAACATTCTCTTTCTTTGGTAAGACTCATTTATACAGAGAATGCTTTTAAGGTTTACTCTCACCTCAGCCTAAATTTTGGAAAAAGCTGATTATGAAGCATCTCACTTGTAAGAACTACCTGTGTCCCTGGAGGCAACCCCCTGAAGCCAGCTTTTCTGGTTGTGATTGCTTATCTTGGGCCTGCCAGTGGCTCCCATCTGTGTCATCCTGCCCCACTGAGATGTAGGGAGATCCCTGGCACCAAAGGACATTTTAATGGGCTCTAAAAGACTTACTAGATTTTACCATAAAGTTCTTGAAACCCTTGCTTGGGGAATAAAAACTTGCCTGTATGCCTAGTCTGCCCATTTTGGGCTTTAGAGCTGATTATCTTGATCTTAATTACAGTTTCTGCAACTGTTCTGAGGAATATCTAAGAAATATCTTCTCTAGTCCTGGGCTTCTGCTTTTGTTCCTTTGTTTACATCTCATGAGACTGAACTTAAGGCTTCATTAAAAACAGCCAGCTGTGGCTCATGCCTGTAAATTGTAGCTACACTGGAGGCTGCGATCTGAGGCTCAGGGTTCAAAGCTAGCTAGGTCAGGAAAGTCTGTGAGACTCTTATCTCTGATTAACCACAATACACTTTGAGCTGAGGCCTACCTTTGAGCAAAAAGAGCTTGGGAACAGCTCCCAGACCCTGAGTTCAAGCCCCATAACTGACGCCCAGAGAGAGGGGAGACAGAGAGCTGGGTGAGCTGATAGATCACACCTGTAAACTTAGCTACTTAGGAAGCTGAGATCACAGTTCAAACCCAGCCCAGGAACTTAGTCTGTGAGACTCTTATCTCCAATTAATCAACCAGGAAACCAGAAGTGGAACTGTGGCTCACAGTAGTAGAGTGCTACCCTTGAGCACAATAGCTCAGGGACAGTGCCCAAGCCCATGACCAAAAAAAAAAAAAAATGTTCATTAAAGAGGCATCATCAGAGAAAGTCATACACAGAAGCCCTGTGTGGAGCTTTGGGTTCCTTAGCTAAGTGAATAATGCACCAGATTGAATCCTTGTCCAGCAAAGGCAAGGACTTTCCATTTATATTTCAAAATTCTAATGGATGTGGCTGAGCCCCAAAACAGGAGGCTGAAGAAATGGTACCACAGATCTGTAGTTCATGCTTTTAGTACTATATTGGATCAGGAGTTAAATTTCATTTGTGGTCCTTTTAGGGCAGGAAAACTGATTAAACAGCTACTTATTTACTAATACCCATTACATGTGACTTCTGGCAAATAAAGAGAACGAATTAGGGCTGTACTCAAGAAGAAACAGCTATACCTTTAGAAGAACAAAAAAATACATATCATAGACAAGCCACTGTTTCTTTTGCCTTAAGGACTCATATTTCGTGGCATCCAAATAGGTATTTTAATAGCCTATATAGTCCATTTTTGTAATAGAAGAGTTGGAAAATACAATCCAGAAGGAAAACATTCTTAAACTCTATGACTCTATGCAAAATAATTATGGTTAACATTTATATATATATTCCTTAGAACTTTGTACATATATAGAAACTGCATAGGAGCATATTCATTTTTAAGTGTGAAGTCAGTGGCTGATGATTCAGCCAGCTGCCACCAAAGAGTCAAGGGAGTGACTGGGTTGTGTGGGAGGTGGGAAGAGGGTGACTTTGCTCTTGAAATGTGATTTGTGTGTGTCTGTGCAAGCATGTTAAGCATTTCTCTGTCTTGTGTTCATTCACAGCTGTGATTAGTGCCCATCCCATCCATTCCCTCGATAACCCTCACCATCATTTCCACTCCAGCAGCCTCGCTTCTCCAGCCCGCAGTCATCTCTACCACCCGGGCAGCCCATGGCCCGTTGGCACATCCTTGTCCCTTTCAGACAGGGCCAATTCCACAGGTGAGAGATGAGAACCGAGCCCACATGGAAAGCATTCCAAGAGTCGGCAAGCAGAAAGGGGGAAGGCCTTACCCTGCATAGAAATTTTTGTTATTTATTTAATGTAACATTTCTGTTGACAGACTCAGATTTCTTTCTGCAAAATTCACTCCACTTTTCTCCCTGAATTTTAAGTTCTCAGTACACAGTGCTATTATAGTAAAAACATAATAACTCAGGTCATATAAGCACATCTTAGTCTTTTTTTTTTTTCCAATCCTGGGGCTTGAACTCAGGGCCTAGGCACTGTCCCTGAGCTTTTGTTCAAGGCTAGCACTCTACCACTTGAGCCACAGAGCCACTTGCAGCTTTTTGTGTCTCTGTGGTACCGAGGAATCAAACCCAGGGCTTTGTGCATGCCGGGCAAGCACTTTACTACTAAGCCATCTTCCCAGCCCTAATCTAGTCATTCTTGTTTTTACCTTTTCCTGACTGATGCTTCTTCCCATGTGAAAGGAAACCTCCTTCTGGGTAGTTTTCAGGCGTCCATGATTGCCTTTCTTTGCCATCATTTTGGGCAGCCGTGAGGGGCTCATTCCTTCCCTGTGGATGAGAGTAAGGACAAAGTCTGGGAGCCCAGCAGGTGACACTAGACCGCCAGCCACATTGAGTTTGTGCTGACCACAAAACCCCAGGCAGCCTCACACTGAAAATGAGGAAAGGGTATGCGTCTGCAAACACAGATAGATCAGTCTTATGTGTAGCTAAAATACATTGCCAGACAGACATACCCCAGTTTAGAAGTCCTAAGAAACAGCATTATCAAAACAGTTTTAACGAGAAAATAACGGAGATGGGAGTAAATGGAATAAATGTTATTGTTCCTCATTAATTACGAATTAATTTCATCCTCTCCATTTTAAACTGTTAAATCTAGTAACTTCTTATACATGCAACACTTTTTCCATCATTTGGTACGTGCCTATTAACTCTTACTAATGTTAAAACTAAACAGTGGTGGTTCTGGGAAATAAGTAAGTTTCAAATGAGCTCCATTTTAAAATAACTTTAAAACATCATGCTTAGAAGTTTGGGTTGCTGTAACATCCCTGTCCTTAAGTTCTACTCAGTTATAAGTAAGCCCTAGCACATGAAGACCAAAGCTCCCAATACCACTTGGTCCCACAGCTATTACTGCTTAAGCTCATGTCTACATTTGGCCTTCCTGCTATTTCTTTCCAAATCCAGATTTGGGATTCTACCTTTAGGGTAAGATGGCTCTCCAGTTGTCCCAGGTAGCTGCATGGAGAACCAAAGTCTGTCTTACAGACATGGTCTTATACAGAACAGAACACCAGAAATCAGCCTTCTAATCCTGCTTTTAAAAAGAAGATTTTGTGCCCAACCCTGCCCCATTTTGAGGGCCAAGGAATCGCAACCATTCAGATATGGGCTTGCCTGAGTAGGAAGCATTCTCTACTGATCATATAAACATCTCCTGCCTCATCCTGGACTAGGGAGGATTTAGGGGTTAGATAAAAGCTCACAGCTATAATCCTAGCTACTTAGGAGCCTGAGATCTGAGGATCATGGTTCAAAACCAGCCCGGGCAGGAAAGTCCGTGAGACTGTTATCTCCAGTAAACCACCAGGAAATCAGAAGTAGTGCTGTGGCTCAAAGTGGTAGAGCACTAGCCTTGAGCAAAAGAGCCCAGACTCTAAGTTCAAGGCCCATAACAGACCAAAAACAAAAAACAAAAAAAAGCCAAACAGAAAGTAAAGAGAAGGGAGAAAAGTGTAGTGCTTTGTATTACTAAAGGATTCCTTGCATTAATGAACACAGGATTAAAAAGGGTAAAGCTAAAGTGTTAGATTCATTGGAGATGAACTTGAAAAATAAACCCAGTGTCTAGAAATGATCCAGGTTCTGCTCCTGTGTTTTCCTAAGTCCTTGTGTCTCTAGGGCTCAGTGCTCCCACAGCACTAGACTTGGGGGCTAGGTAGGACTGAAGGCCAGCCAGGCATGTCTTAGAGGCATTTACTGTGCCACTACCACTCGATACTGGAAAAGCCATTGGCCAAGCACTTGGCCTCTATGAATTTCGTGTGACTTAAATCAGGATGTCAAGTGCTCACGTCTAAAACCCTAGCTACTCAGGAGGCTGAGATCTGAGGATTGCGGCTTGAAGTCAGCCCAGACAGGAAAGTCCATGAAACTCTTATCTCCAATAAACTAGTCAAAGTCAGAAGTGGTTCTGTGGCTCAAGTAGTAAAGCACTAGGTTAAGCACAAAGAGGCTCAAGGACGGCACCCAGGCCGAGTTCAATCCCCGCAACTAAAAAATAAAATACAATAAGTAGGCAGGAGTTACGCCCATTGCTAAAACAAATTTTAATCACAGCCTAGTATCTGAGTAGAACCTGGTATCGCCCTGTTGAAAAGCAGCCCTCACAGAATGCAGTATGCCCAGTCTTGCCCTGCCAACAGTCATTCCTTTAAAGGCAATCAAAACAGGGTAAGCCTATGTGCCCAGAGCTACAGGTATCTGCAAGTACCTGCTGTTGTGGTCAGGACTGGGCCCATTCCCTTCTTCATCCTCCATACTTCCTAAACACCTTCCTTATGGGCCAGGATCACACAGAGGGTGGCCAGCAGCTCTTCAGCCATGATGACGGCTTGTCTGAGCAAGCTGAGAAGTGACATCTCCAGCATGCCCCTTCAGAGGCTGAGAGGTTTGGGAGAGCATGCTTGCCCCTCATCCCTGAAAATCAAGACTTCCATGAGCTAAGGGGGCTTTACCCCAAGCCCAGGGCTGAGGATTCATTACTCACTCACAAAGATGGAGAAATGAATTTCTGTAGATAGCTCATGTTGGTACATTATTTTTTTGTTTTGTTTTCTGGTCCTGGGGCTTGAACTCGGCCTGGGCACTGTCTCTAAGCCTCTTTGTACTCAAGGCTAATTCTACCACTTGAGCCATGGTGCCACTTCCAGCTTTTTTTAAGTAGTTTATTGGAAATAAGAGTCTCATAGTCCTTCCTGCCCCGGCTGGCTTTGAACTTAGATCTTAGATCTCAGCCTCCCGAGTAGCTAGGATGACAGATGTGAGCCACTGGCACCTGGCCATACATTAAATTTTAAGGGTGAGGATTCCAGAAGTCAAAGAACTCCAGGCTCTGGCCTGGCTGTTGTTCTCCATACCATTCTTCCAGGGAGGATGGCATCTGCCCTACTCACACTGTGTGCAAGTCTCCCAACAGTAGTCCACCTGCATCGCTGCTGCTTATCAGGGAGAATGGCAGCATGGGGCAGGGGCAGGCAGCGAGCATGTGGTGCTCCAGAGCGCAGGTGTGGGGATCTGTGCAGGGCCTGGGCTGTCTGCTTGTTCTGTTTGTGGGACACTTGCTTGCTTACCCAGTCACTCTGGTGAACAAATGAGCCAATGAGTGGCAAGCACTTAGCATATTACCTATAGTTCAGTAAACACCAGGAATCTACAAAGAAAACAGTCTTATCCATTAGACACTGCGCTCAGCTCTTTTCAAACATGTCATTTAATCCTCAGTGAATGACCTGATATTCTCCCTGTTTTGTAGATGAAGAAACTTAGACTCAAAGATTCAGGGACTTTACCAAATTTACCCATCCACAGTGCCACAACTAGAGTGCAGATGTGTCAGACTCCAGAGCCAGTGCCTTTCTATCATACTGTGCCACCTCAGGACAGCTCTGCCCATTCTACATGTTGGAGGTTGTTACCACATTCTTCTGGAGTCTTTCCTTCTCTAGGCTAATCCACACCAATGTTTCTTTCTCTGGACCAAAACATCCTTCAGTTGGCATGAGCTTTAAGGCTGTGTAGATCTCTGGGCTGTTTGGTTGTCCAATCCTCACCTGAGCTGTGGGTTTTCAGTCTAGTGAGGCCAAAGCTCTGCACAGTCCGTGATGGGCAGGAGGATCTGAGGGTTGGCCATAGATCTTGCTGCCAAAACTGATTGGTGTCAAGTACTAGGGTAGCCTTGTGACTAGTCATGGCTATCTAGGAAAGGCATCGACCAGTGGGGGAAAGTTTAAATTCTCTTTCATACTTCCTTACAGACACTAGTTTCCGGAACCTGTTATTTGCGCTCCGTAAGTTGTGACCACCTAGCTGTGTAGCATTGAAAAAGCTGGTTGGGACTCTTAGATCAGTCAGTTTTTAGCTGGGCTAGCACTGGTCCCAAGTGCTTATTGAACTGGGTAGGGACCCAAAGAAGTTGCCAGCAATGTGTGTGTTCTAGCAGTAAAATCAGTGCTAACATGTAGGCTCTCCTGCTGTAGAATCTGTTCGAAACACCCCCAGCACTGATACCATGCCGGCCTCCTCGTCCCAGACCTGCTGCACTGACCATCAGGATCCTGAAGGTGCTACCAGCTCCTCTTACTTGGCCAGCTCCCAAGAGGAAGATTCAGGCCAGAGCCTTCCCACAGCCCACGTTCGCCCCTCTCACCCATTGAAGAGCTTCGCAGTGCCAGCAATCCCACCCCCAGGACCTCCTACCTATGATCCTGCATTGCCAAGCATGCCATTACTGTCCCAGCAAGGTGAGTGATGACAGCTGCACTACTGCACGGGCTCTCAGTCCCTTGGGATAGAAGTCACTCCTTTGCAGAATCATAAAGCCAAGTACCTTTTGAGCTTACCCAGCAATGATACCCCAGTGGTGGGTATCGTGGCCATTCTCAGAAAGCACATAAGCTCCCCTCCTTGGGGGGGCTGTGTACAGACCAAATCAGAGAGCAATGTTTTGGCGAGCAGTCACTAGCATTTTGGATTCTCTTACAGGCAGAATCCTTGGTAAAAGCCAGTAGTCTGCCTAGCCCCTCCTTAGCTCCTGGAGTCATCTCACTCCATAAGATGCCTACAAGCTAAAGAAGGGTCAGGCGGCCCAGGACTGGGTGCCAGAAGGAGCCCCAGGAAGAAGAGCGCTATAGTCATGTGTCTGACTTCATAGCTCAACCACAGACCTAGCCTTCCCCACCCTATTGTGATGCTTCGTTTCAGAGTCAGTTGTTGGTGCTCAGACGTTTTGGTGTCAGGACTTGTTTATATACTGTAGGTTATCAAGATGACACAAGAGGGCTGAACAGTGTCTCAAGAGGTAAAGTACCTGCCTAGCCAGCATGAGTTTCTTGAGTTTAAATTCCAGTAACTCAAAAACAAAACAATACGTGCATATGCGTGAGCGCGCACATGCACGCACACACACACACAAATGAAGGGTTATTTTTTTTGGTGGGGGGGGGTCCGGTTGTGGGGCTTGAACTCTGGGCCTGGGCGCTGTCCCTCAGCTCTTCAGCTCAAGGCTAGCGCTCTACCACTTGAGCCATGGCGCCACTTCCGGCTTTTTTCTTATGTGGTGCTGAGGAATCGAACCCAGGGCCTCATGCATGCAAGGCAAGCGCTCTACCACTGAGCCACCTTCCCAGCCCCTGAAGGGTTATATTTTATCTGTATGTACCACATTCAAAATTAAAACCCAGAACATCTTTAAGTATTCCATTAACGCATTATTTAGAATAATAGCAAGAATCCTATCATATTAAGGCAAGTAGCACGGTTTAATGAAAATAACTTTTTGAAAACCTAGTGAGAGCAATGTCATTGTCTTACATTCCTTCAGTGTCTGGCTGAATAGAAGACAGCTGGGCTCTCATATCTACTGTGTTCAATCTGTTGCAATATGTTGTTTTGGTTGAAATACAAGAAGAAAATCTGGCCTCACAAATGGGTAGTTGGCAAAGGTATTTTTATAACCTTTCAGATACTTACAGATATTATTTTTATTTTTATTTTTTTAATAAAGATAGATTTTGCTATAGATGCCAAACTGGGCTCAAACACACTCCTCCTGACTTCTCAGTCTCCCGAGTAAGGAATTAGAAGCATGTATTGCCATACCCAGACTGCCTATAGCTTTTTTTATACCCTAGTAAAACTTACAAAGCTATAGTTTCATAAAGATTTGTTTACAGTGTGCAATCTCAAACTGTATTTGTAAACTACTCATATATTTTGAATGCATAACATTAAAACATCACACATTACATGTAATCATTTTGTACCTAAAAACACATTTACTAAAGGGCTTCGAATGTATCTCAGTTGTAGAGCACCTGCCTAATAGATGCCAGGCCCTAGGCTTAATGCCCAACATGGCAAAAAAAAATACAAATCTGTCAAGCTCAGGTGACAGATACCTTTTTTTTTTACTCTAATTACCACTTAAAACTCAAATTTTATCACTATTTTCTTTAACATTCCCAGGCTCACTGTATTCCGTTTCTAGAAGACACTTAAATGACCCATTTGTCTGTCTTGGAACTATCAGTGGTTTTCCCGAGTGAGCACAGCACCTCGGCTTTGTTCATTCTGCTATCCTGTCGCTAGGGTCCTGCCTGTATCATGCTTGATACAGGAGCACTTTTTTCATTCTTTCCATTTTGGGTCAAGATTCATCATTTCTACTGCTTTAGCTCGAGTGAAAACCGTGTTTTTCAACTGCAGCAGAATATCCGCAGAAGGTTAGTTTGGCCACTGCCTTTGTTTGTGGTAAGGCTCTGGTAGTTTGTCCCACTATTGCCTGTGTACCCTCAGTGCAAGGCCAGCAGTGAAAAGACAAAAAATGTCTTAACTGGCATTATGCAGAGAGTTGACCTTCTGGTTATTCTGAACCACCACACTTTGAGAAATTAGTTTCTGAAGCCAGTAGGATATTGTCTCTGTCCCTTTCGAATTTGCCACTGCCTCCCTCTTCCTCTCTTGCCCTAAGAAGTTTTCAGAGAAAGATGGCTGCACGAGCTTTGGGGCTGCGGCCCTAGCCACAATCTGACAGTGCCCTTTCCCCCTCAGCTCTGAACCATCATATTCACTCAGTGAAGACGGCTTCCATTGGGACTTTAGGAAGGAGCCGGCCTCCTATGCCAGTGGTTGTTCCCAGTGCCCCTGAAGTACAGGAGACCACGAGGATGCTGGAAGACTCCGAGAGTGTAAGTTCATGGCCATCAGCCCTGCCAGGATGTATGGGCATACATCCTATGGTCTCTCTGTGTGCAGGTCAAGCTCACATTGGGCACCACCTAGAGGCACGAAGCAGACTCATTCACTCTTTCAACAGGCATACAGTGAGCCTCTCCTTCAGATGAGGAATATGTCTGCTTTCTCAAGGTATCAGTGTCAGGAAATGACCTCTTGGCCGGGTGCTGGTGGCTCCTGCCTGTAATCCTAGCTACCCAGGAGGCTGAGATCTGAGGACCACGGTTCAAAGCCAGCCCGGGCAGGAAAGTCTGTGAGACTCTTAGTTCCAATAAACCACCAGAAAACCAGAAGTGGAACTATGGCTCAAGTGGTAGAGCGCTCGCCTTGAGCTGAAGAGCTCAGGGACAGCGCCCAGGCCCTGAGATCAAACCCAACAACCAACAAAAAAAAGAAAAAAAGACAGAAAAAGAAAATACCTCTTGGTGGCCTTGGGTGGCTCTTGGTACTCTGACTCTTCTTAGCCAGCTTAGGTGTGGGCAGGCTAGCCTTCTGGGGCAGTTTTATCACTGGCCCTGATGCTCTGACCTCTCTGTGTGGGCTCTCCTACCTAGACAGCTCCTTGGCTCATGCTTAGTAACTGCATTCTCCTTTCCATAGAGCTATGAACCAGATGAGCTGACCAAAGAGATGGCCCACCTGGAAGGACTGATGAAGGACCTAAATGCCATCACGACAGCATGATGGCCTTCATGGGGACATGACTCCAAGCCTGAGTCTGGAAGTCTTGGAACTTAGCCTTGCAAACAAGGAATTGTACAGAGTACGAAGGACGCACTTGAGAGCACAGTGAGCCAGCAGACCAGCCAGCGCCTCCGCTGCGGCTGGCTCCAGGCACAGCCACCGGCCTTCTGGTCAGCCTGGACCACACGGGAGTCGAGGCAGCTTCCCTTTCCCTGCTGATACCTGCGGGACTGGGCACCACGGGCCAAAATTTTGTGTCCAGGGAGGAGGCGGGAAGTGCAACCTGCATTTCACGGTGGCCAGGCTGTGTCTTCGTGCTGCATCTGCATCACGTTTATGGAGTGTAGACATTGGGATTTATGTACAATTTTATTTCTGTCCTATTTTATTTTACCTTAAAAAACAAAAACAAAACACTATCAAAACCCAAGGAGGTCCATGATGTTCTCCACCGGTGGCTGGCATGTGACTGCTTGTCTCAGTTGCATGTGGAAAGTCACTGACAGAGTGAACTGGTTGTTATGTGGGGGTAGGCTTGTTTTTGGTTTTGTCTTTATTTTTTAATTCTGAGACATTGCATCCTCTGCCAGCTGTTAATCCATCACTTTGAGGGAGAGGAAATACTGCATTGCTGTTTGTAAGCTTTTTTTTTTTATTATTTTTTATTATAATTATTAAAGACCTGACACTCTCCTCTCATCACTGTGAGATTACAGATCTATTTGAATGAAATGTAACATTGAAAGACTTGTCTATTGCTTTCTGTGCAGATTCAGTATTGGGGTGGGGGTTGGGGTTGGGGATAGGAAGTGGAGGGGCTGCTAAGGTTCTGTGAATGTTTCCGTCATGTACTTTCTTCCAGAAGCCTGCAGAGAATGGAAGTGTCTTCTTTACTGCCCTTTGCTGGCATGTCCATCTCACTGTCACTACATTGCTACTGGAGTTTGATTTGGATCTGGTTAAAAGTCCTTCTGTGCAATAGGTGGGTCTGAGGAGTTAGCCGGCCCCATGCCTCGGGAATGTCCATGCTGAGCCCCCATACTGCTCTGGTTGCAGGAGTGATGGATGCTCAGTAGAGCAAGGTCCTGACACTGTCCCCCCAAGGCAGAGAGCACAGGGTGGGGACCCTTGCCTGCTGCTGGAGGCTTCTCTGAAGGAGGCTGGTGGTGGAGGAGGAGGACTCTGGCCTCTCTGGACCTGTCCCCAGGTCAGCGGTCACTGCCAATTGCAGAGCCTCTTCTGCTAAAGCACAGCCACAAGGAGGCTGCGGTGCCCAAGAGGTTTACCCGTGTCTTTCTGAACACAGTTCTTCAAGTAACAGAGGACAGGGCCAGCAGAGAGGGCAAGCAGAGGCGCCTGCCCGCCACCCCCACAGCTCAACAGACTCCTCCCACCCCTGAGAGGAAGAGGCAGCAGGAGATTAAAGGTACACTAAGGGCTCCACCTTTGCAGAGCGCTGGGGGTCATTTTCTTACAAAGGTAAGCTGAGGCGTGTGCTTGTCTTTTGTAATATCAAGAATATGTGATGAAAACACAAGACCCCCAAAGACAGTCAGGCGTGGGTTCTACGGCGAATAGACTGCCCAGACCACCGTGGGTGCCCACAGGTGGCAGGTAGGGTCATTGCACCCTCTTTAGGCCTTACCACATGCTTGCTTTTCTCCAGGATGAGCTCTCTGCTCTCTGTGTTTATGGTGTTTTGTTTTGTTTTGGGGCTGGGGCGGGGGGGGGGGGGGGCGGGGGGGGAGGTAATCAAAACTTCAGTGCTGGAATTCCTGCTGGCATATAGTTTGAAGAGAGCACTCCAGCCACCAGGAGAGCCACCTTGCCCAGAAATCATCTCTCTTGCCCAAAGAACATGCTCAATATTTAGGGCATTCCCTCCCATGAACCCCTATACTTTCATTACCTCAGGGCTTTGGTACCTGGATACTGCCACAGAATTGGGGTGGGGGAGGGGAGGGACCTATTTTTAAAGTAACTTCAAGGTTGGGATTTTTTTTTTTTTTTTAATAAAAAGAAAAATATTCTGTATTGCACCTTTTCACAATTTAATACATTTTCTTAACATTTTTCTGTGATTTTTGAAACTAAGCCATTGTGCGTCTTTGTGTCCTAGCTGAACTGCCCGGCAGCTCCGGGTGTGGGCATGGGGGGGGGGGTGTGCGGGCAGGCGCAGCCCTGCCCCCAGCTTGTGGGAGGGCCCGGAGGACGGCTGGGCTGGGCTCTCTGTACACACCTGTTTGGCCTTTACTGTAGTTGATGCTGTAAACTCTATGGCTTTTTAAAAAAAAAAAAAAAAAAACGAAAGAAAGAAAGACGGTTTCATGTTTTTATTTAGTATTGGAAATCCAATACACTTCTTTAATCCGATCAAACTGGTCTAGTCAAAGAGTTTATTTTCCTTCAACCCACTTCCTGTTTCTCTGCCTCTAATGAACTGCCCTGTTGCCTCTCGCAGCTCTATAACCGGGAGTTCTAAGGGAAACCTGAGGGAGAAGTAGCAGGTGAGTCACAAGGCACCTGACCATCCATCCACCTGTGCCAAACACAAGTCCCGTCCCTCTGTCCGCCCGACTGGTGCTGCCCTGCAGAGACTGAGCTGCCCAAGGACAGCAGGTGGCACCTGGCAGCCATCCGAATAGCACGCGGGTCTCAGCCCAGCTCACTGTTAACACGGTGGCATCCTGGGCCGCTTCCCATGCCCAACCAACCACCCAGATACCCACCACCAGGATCAGGGGCTTTAAGAGAGGCTCCTTCCACTATCACAACATTTATACCATCTGAGCCTGCAGTAGAACCAGGACTCTGCCCCTGTGGTCCATCCACTCTGCTGCCAGCTTGCGCTCTAGCAGAGAAACCCAAACCCTGCTGTTCCCATTAATAGCGCCCTGTTGGCCTCAGGACGAAGTCTGAGATCACAGTATGTCTGACTGCTCCAGCCTCTACTTCCACATAGACAGACACCTGCGGCTCCAGCCAGGCTGCCCCTTCCACATCCCTAGGTGGAGCTCTTGGCACACTTTGCCCTCCTGGGTCTGTTGTCATTTTCTGCAGGCTTGTGGGCTTAGTGAAGACTGGAGAATTTCTCCTTTCTGAGTATCTTAGCTGATGTCTGTCTCTTGGGTGAGTGGACAGTTTCAGGGACTCAGTCCCGGGGGAAACCCCCACCTCCCAACCCATGGCAGGACCCCGTTTCGGTTCCTAGTGTTCTGAGGCTGGAACCTTCCCACTTCAGCAGCTGTGCTGACATCCCAGGGTGAACTTGAAAGTTTACATGTCTGCCTGACAGTCCTAAGAAATGCTGATGCTAGAATGACTGACTGGGTGCTGGCAGTTAAGACGAGATGGTTGAGGTTGGAGACATGGTTCAGTTGGTAGAGCGCCAGCCAATGAATGAAAGCATCAGGGACTGAGTTTGAATCTCAATCTTGGACAAAAGACAGAGAAAGAAGAGAGAGCAAGAGGAAGGAAAGAAAAAGGAAAAAGAAAAATTGTCCTTAACACTGATTCTAAGAAGAGCTGTGGACAAAGCACTGTGTACGTAAGAAAGGCCTCCCGTGCGCCCCTTGCCTGCAGCCCTCGTTCCAGCCACCTTTCTGGGGAGGAAGCACCACCAGGGGAGATTAAAGAACAAGAGTGAACAAGCCAAAAGTGGATGACCATGGGGGTGAGGCCAGGGCACAAACAAGCAGCAGCCACCACAGACCAAATTGCCTGCACCATCAGCTGGCAGACTTAACCACCGGGGAAGCTGCAGCAGCACGGTGCTGGGGGAGAGGTGTGCATAGTGGGAGGAAATACTTGCACTTCCTCCTAAGACATCCTGTTGAGATCAAATGCTATTTCAGACGAAGTTACCTTTAAGCCTAGAAGATGTTGCTATGGATAGGCGTTTTCACTCAACCAGGAACTTGATGGAGCTAGAACATGAAAGAGACCTGACCTCAAAAGAGTTTCAAGAGAGTGCTCGCGGCACTTCAGAGAAAGAAGGATTTGGAACTTCCTGAAATAATTGGGGGTGAGGGGCAGCCTGTATCATCAAGATGGTGAAAGAAGGCAGAACCGCGTGGTTAGCGGGGGAGGGGGAAGAGCCCCATGAAAAATGGCCAGCCTTGGGCATCACAAAGACCTCCGCTGCTAATGCTTTGCACTTCTGTGAGGTTGACCTCCCCCGACTCCCGCTCCCCTAAGTCTTATATAACAGCTGTCCCGATGCACAAGTGACCAGGCATGAGCCAGGTCACTCCTCAAACAGCCAAGAGCCTCTCTAGCCAGCATGGACGTGTGCAGCTGCTCTGTCTGGCAGGGTGTGCATACCCAGCCATAAATGGAACTCATTCACTACAAGCAGAAGTTTGAAGTCCGAAGCTCTTATCTAGAAATCACAGAAATCCAGGTGTCACGGGGAGCTCACAAGGCCTTCACTGGTCAAGAAATGTGAGCTCCTGCCACCGTGATCCAGATTCTAAGAGACAGCTGGTGTCTGGGTTGTCACGGTATGTTTCCATTCCTGCCCAGGGTCCTTGACACCCCATTGCCTTGTTAGTGGGTGCCTGCCTGGTTAATGGCTCTACCCTCCCAAAAGGGCAATCTGGGAATCATTCTAGACTCTTCCCCGATACCACGACACATTGATCAGCAAGCCCTGCCAGCTCCATCCCTCAAATGCGCCCCCCCCCCTCCCCAGGGACTCCATCTCCATCTCCCAGCATGGAGTTGAATCCTATACACAGCCTCCAGGTGTCTCATTTGGATCCTGAACCTCTCCCCTATAGAACCCTGATCAAGTGGCTTTGTCAGCCTCGTCTCTTTCATTTCCCATTGAATCTCCCCCTTCACCCTATTTGGCCATGGCAAAAGAGGATGGTTTGTGCTTCTAGAATAGCCATGATGTCTGGCCTCTATGTTTCCTTAATCCCAAATTGTTTCCCTATCCGCTCGAGTCACCACTGCGTTTTTGTTTTGGTTTGGCTTTTTTCCTTTGGTTTTTGCCAGTCCTGGGGCTTGAACTCAGGGTCTGGGCTCTGCCCCTGAGCCTCTCTATGCTCAAGGCTGGCATGCTACCACTTGAACCACAGTGCCACTTTCAAAACTTTTTCTGAGTAGTTTATTGAAGATAAGAGTCACGTGGACGTTCCTGTTCAGGCTGTCTTTGAACTGCAGTCCTCAGATCTCAGCCTCCCTGAGTAGCTAGGATTACAGACGTGAGCTTCTGGTGCCTGGCTTTCAGCACTTTTTATTTTTTTATGCTGGCAAATCGATGTTCACTTTCAAAGACCAACCTAACATCTGGTCCTCTGATGGTTCTCGTTTAATTTCTGTGAGTTCCTGAAGGAAAGGAACCATACTTGTGTTTGGACACAGTCTTCATTAAATGAACCTGCCTGGTGAAGGTGATGAAACTTGAAATTCAGTGACTAATACTGAATTTCTGGTAACATATCCTGAGTAAGACTGAGCTCAGTCTTGGACCTGACATGAGGGATCTATGCAGGGAGGAGCAGGCTCTGAAGAACGGGGCAGCTACCCACTTGATAACAGCTGTCAGTCTGCCTGAAGAGGACAGATCTCATCCATCCCTGAATCAGACCTGTGATCTGCCTCTTGTCACTGGATTAAGTTCAAGGCCCCACTCAGCAGCCCAGTGCTAAGGCCATGAGGGTAGTAAGGCTGGCCAGCCTTCAATGGGAGAG